TAAAATGTTGAAATAATTTTAGACAGCTGCTAGGAAATTCTTGAATACTTACATAAATATACTAAAATGTATAAGTATGTGCATGTATAATAATGATATTATGTTATTTTTACTTCCGACAGTTCGAGAAATAAATATATACTAGTATATACGCATACACTTGTTCAGTTCCTACTGCGGTTTATAGGCAAAAATATTTTGGCAAGAAATCTAAAAATTATTTATTGTATAATATAATTGCATATTATATACATATAAATATTATTGTTAAAAAATCTAATTAATATCAAAAAATTAGAGTTATGTTATCAAAATATGATAAGCTAAAATAAATTAATATAATTTGAAAAATAAATAAAATAATACAAAATAAAATAAAAAAGTTAAATTATATTATTTAAAATAAATTAAAATAAATTAAAATAAATAAAAAAAAAAATTAAATTAAATTAAATTATATAAAATCAAATAAAAAAAAATAAAGCAATATTAATTTAATTTTAAATTAAATTAAATTAACATAGATTAAATTAAATTAATTTAACATAAATTGAATTGAATTAAATTAAATTATTACTTTACAATTACAAATTATTACAATACAATAAAATAAAATAAAAATAAGTAAAACGAAATAAATTAAAAATAAACTAAGTCAAATAAAAATTATAATAAAATACGAAAAAATAAAAAAATATAAAAAATTTAAAAATAAAATACAATAAAGTAAAATTAAAAAATATTAATAATACGTCGTAAGAGGTGTCTAAAATTCAGGAGCTCCTGTGACAGTCGGGTCCTTATGCCAGAACTACCCGGATTATATTACAGGCGAGTTCTAGCACTTCCAAAATATTTGCTGATAAAAGAAAATAAAATTAAAATAAATAAATTAAAAATAAACTAAGTCAAATAAAAACTATAAATAAATACGAGAGTAAAAAAAATAAATTATAATAATAAAGATTATAAAATGAAATTAATTAAAATAAATTATAGTAAATTAAAATTAAGCAAACTGTACAAAAAAATTTAACTAAATTAAATTAAATTAAAAAAATGAATTAAAATTGAAATTAAATAAGTTGAAATATACAAATTATATAACATAATAAATGGTATATTGTATTAACAAATAAGAGAGTATTTTATCCATTTTGATCGCTCTTTGGTAGAATTTGGTAGTTTCAATACCTTCGATTGTAGTTCTGACATAAAATAAAGGCTCCTCATAAAAATCCATTGGCCGCTCAGAATAAACTGTAGGTCCCTACATTTGTTGGTAAACATCAGACGCATTCTTTACTAATAGTAGTGAAACATTTTCTATTATAATCCTGTGAATTAGGTGCTCAAGAATCCATCCATGATAAGGCATGCCTGTCATAAAATGTTTCTAAAATTCAAGAGCACCTGCGACAGTCGGGTCTTTATGCCGGAACTACCCGGATTATTTGCCAGCTAAGTTCTAGCACTCTCACAATATTAGCTGAAAATGATTTTAAGAAATATTTTTGCGGTTACAACAACAAGAAGAACAGCATTGTTTAATTCTAATTACCGTACAATTTCGCTTACAAGCAAAAAAAAACTAAAAATATATTCAAAATTGTAGTATATTTATATATATATTAAAAAAAATAGAGTATAAATATGTCAAGCCAAATTTTAATTAAAAAATTTTGTTAAAACTTGTATATGTGAAATGAAATTGATTTCATAAGAAATTTTAGTTGCCAATGTCTCGCCTTTATAGCAGTTTTTACTGTGAAACGCTTAATTTGTGTACATAACTATTTAACAGCATTCGGTGTGTTTCGTAGTACTGCAAAAAGTCTTGCGGTGTTATTAACAGTAAATAAAATGTGTACTTTCTGCATTTAAAATTATTAAAATAAATATTTATTTACCTGTTTGAGCCAAAATTATTGTAATTAGCAACTGTGTGTATACACTTACTTATCTAGCACATATATAGGGTATTTTATTTTACATAGTTTACTTATCGTTCGCCTATAACACTATGTCTGAAACTCACTCTTTATCAACACTTACCGTTTTGAGAGAAAAAAAAAACTAAGATAAAATAAGTACTTAACAGCGTCGCAAATTTTTTTACGTTTCCAGCAGAAAATTTCAATTTTTTCTGTTTAGTTGACAATGAAAATCAATTGTACAATTTTCGCAATTTTTTAACAGGCATGCATACCAATGAGTAATGGAAAGAACTAGACGTTAAGCTAAATTTCTCTTATAATTTATCTCAATAGACATATGTATACACATACATACATACATACATGCTCCGTGCACAGGAAATATTTCGTTACGTATACGCCCACGAACACGTTCTTTCTTTTTCCATTTATTACTTGAGATATTACCATTTTTCATAAAACATTTACTAAAACGAAATATGCGATTCTGTTTTGTTGTTGTCACATTTTGCATATCTACTACCTGCACATAGTAATAAATGCATTTTGAAATATGAATATAAGTTAATTATTCATTGAAATTTTACTGCGAGAACTATATGGTCATATACACTCACATATATTAGCTATTGTAAAAAATTGTCAACATTTATGAATAACACACGTTTCATTTGCAAAGCAAAACACCTTGCACTTGAGTTTCGAAGCAATTCATTTCCACTGGTTTTTAAGTGATTACAACAAGTAGCAATGAAGGGAAGAATGTTTAAAAATGTTAAAAGTACAATAATAAAAACTGTCAAGTTACATGTAAAATGTCGCTGAAAATATTGACGCACATACAAATTTGCATATGAACATTTATATGTAAAAATGTATGTATTTAAGATTTAACAGTTTTGAAATATTAACTTGTAATGTGTAAAATATAAAAATACTTATATATTAGGGAGACACACATATATTATAAACAGTTGAAAGGAAAATGAATAAAACAAAACAATTTAAATAATAATCTAAAATAAAAATCAAAATAAAAAGAAATTAACTATATAATAAGTAACAACATAAATTAAAAAATTGGAATTAAATAAAAAATAAACAAAAAACTATAAAAACACAAGACAAACCAAAATAAAAAGAAATTAAATATAAGTAGCAACATAAATTAAAAAAATTGAATTAAATAAAAAATTACCAAAAGAATAAAATAAAATTAGAAGTAATATAAAAAATTAAATAGAAGTAAATAAAAAATTAAACAAAAAATGTAATTAAAAAATAAAATACAATTAATCTTAATTTGAAAACTTAAATTAAAAATTAAATACTAAATTTAATAAAAAGAAGTAACATCATATATAACAAAATAAATAAAATTTAATTAAAAGAGTAACCAAATAAAATCGAATAAAATAAAAAAGCAAAACAAAATTAATATATAATAATAAACTATAAAAAATAAGATAAAATAAAACCTAATTAATATAATCAAATTATAGTAATTAAAATTAAAATAATCAAAATTAAATAAAATACACTAAAATAAAATAAATTTATTTAAAGTAAACAATCAAAAAAATTAAATAAACTATAAAAACAAATAAATTAAATTATATTAAATAAAATAGAAATCATTTAAAAAGACTCATAAACCAAAATTAAATTTAATTAAAATAGATATAAATAAAGTCAAATACAAAATAAAATAAAGTGAAGTATAAAAAACCGAATATAATAAAATTAAATTAACTTACATAAAGAAAAATTAATTTCGAAAAAACGAAATATAGTAAAAAATAAATAAAAATAAAAAAAGATAATGAAATATAAAAAATTAAATAAAATAAAACAATAATATAAAATATAATAACAAATAAAATGAATTAAATTAACATAATTTAGAATTAACGAAAATTAAATTATATAAAATTGATATAAATAAAGTCAAGTGAAATAAATTACATTAAATTAAATTATATAAAATAAGAAATAAAAAAAATTAAATTAACAAAAAAAATAAAATAAATGTAAAAAATAAAAAAAAAATAAAAAAATAAAATTAGTAATAAAAATTAACATCGATAAAATAAAATAAGTAAAATAAAAAAAATAAAATAAATGTAAAAAATAAAAAAAAAATAAAAAAATAAAATTAGTAATAAAAATTAACATCGATAAAATAAAATAAGTAAAATCAAACAAAATAAAATAAAAACTGTAATAAATTAATATAAAAAAAAAAAATTAAATTATAAAAAATAAATTAATAGACACAGAAATTAAAAATAAATTAAAGTAACGAAATAAAAACACAATAAAATAAAATAATTAAAATGAAATAACATAATATAGCATTATACAAATTAATATAAAATAAAATAATCAAAAAATAAATAAACAAATTGAACGAAAAATAAAAAAAGTTTTAAAATAAGATAAATTAAAAAATAAAATTATAAAATTAAATAAAGAAAATAAAATTAATACAATATAGTTCCATTAAATAAAATGTATAAAAATTTAATGATAAAGAATAGAAAATGTGACATAATAAAATAATTAAAAAAGGAAGGAAAATATAATAAACTAAAGAATTCAAATCAGATAAAGAAATTTATGGTTGTATAATATAAATTCAAATAACAAATAATAAAATAAAACTATATTAAAAATAGAATGAAATAAACAAATATGTTTTTCAAAAAGTGAATGAAAATATAAAAAAATGAAAATTGAAATGAAATAAAATAAGAATCACAAAAAAAAATATATTAAAAAATGAAAACTAAACAAAAAGCAAAAATTTTTAAAAATTAAATTTAATCAAATACAGTTAACAGCAAACAGCAACAAAATAAAATAAAATAAATTGAAATAAATGAAATAAAATATGGGTCTAATTTTTTTCCAAATTGTGGTGCTTTAAAAAATAAATTTTAAATCTATGCATTAATAAGGAATATTTTGCTTTACGTGTAAGCCTCTTTGTATTTTATAGCTTTGCTTTAAGTCCCAAAAGTGTTCTCGAAATTTACAGTCTTTTACTTGCCTTTATTGCAGGCCAGTTGATGCTTTTCTACACCATCTTTTATATTGTGCTCGCTGCTTTATTCGCCATATGCATGCAGGGCCTCTTTGCCTCTTTAAGTAAGAATGAACCGACTTGGAAACTCGAAAGTTCACTGATTGGCACAAATCCCGGCTTAGGCTTTCGGCCGCTGAGCGAGCAAACGGAGCGTGGTTCGGTGATACAATTCGATACAAAGAAACCAGGTGAAGGCGCATATTGGACGAGTTTGGTAGATCAATTTCTTGAGAGTAAGTTTCGGGCAGTTGCATTAACTTAATAACATTTATATTAATCATAATCTTTTTTTTGCCAGAATACCGAACCACCGGTGAGAAGACATTCTGTGACTTCAATCAGACAGTTAATGCCAATAAAGTATGTGTTGTCGATGTGAACAATTTTGGTCCATGCTCCAAGGAAACTGGTTATGGTTATTCCAATGGTCGTCCGTGCATTTTCTTGAAACTGAACAAAATCTTCAATTGGGTGCCAAAGTACTTTGATAATACAGAAAAATTACCTAAGGAAATGCCACTTGATCTTAAGGAGTATATTGGAAATTTAACTGAAACTCAGGTGAGTTGAATTTAAAAGAACAGACAAAATTCTGGCAGAGCTGTGATTTCCATATTGCGATGGTTTTGAAAATTTTGACCACTGAGAATCCTTACACAACTGAACAAATGAGGTGGGTTTCGAAATTAGAGCGGAGGGGTGGAGTAAAACTGTGGATCACTGCATTCAGGCCAGACTTTACAAATTGGAGTATCTCGGCCGATAATCGTTTCATCGGTTATAAAGCACCAACTATATAATATGAGGGAACATCATATTACGTGGCTTCCAGCTGTGCTTAAAAGTCATGGAGTCATTATTCCCAATCTTGTTCGAACTTTTCGTGATTTCCAAGCTAGTTCAACGAGACAGACAAAGCAACATTTTTCGAGAAATGTGTATCGTACAGTTGACAAGGCTGGACAGTGACAGAATTGGTATTCAATAGACTCCTCCTCTACTTCGTCCCTACAACTGCTATACTGTAACTGATTGTCCTGCTACCGTAGATTTCAGCAGCTACTCGCTGGCTTCCATGACGGCAAAGAGTTCTGCTTGAAAGAAGCTAGAGTAGTCTGGTAGTCTCAAATTCATATTTTTAAGAACATCGGAGTGTACATAGATTCCGCAGTCCACTTTTTTATCGAGCCTTAAGCCGCTGGCAAAAATGGATATGGCTCCCTGCTTGTGTTTTCCACACTCATTTCTCTTTGGAATTCTCGTGGAAAAAAAATGTTGGGGCACATACTGGAGTTAGTATAGTCCAGCTGCTTCGACACTTCTGCAAGATTTAATATTTTAGCGTGATCTATACTGCAGTTTCTCCCTGGCTGAGTTGCGTTCAATCTGGTTGCAATGCAGCTCGCTTGTAATTATCCATATAGGTGTTCCAGAGGAAGGAAGTTGAGAAGAGTTAGCAGTCATTTAGAAGAAGTAGATGATGACAGTGCTACTTTTACCCATATAGCGACCGACCGTTGAATATTGCTGCTGAAAGTAATTTTCTCCAGTGCCGTCAAAGAATGGCATTGGCCTAACTCCCGATGTCTAAATCCAGTACACTATATACAATCTTAAAGCCCATATACAGTGCCCTTTCTGCCGTAGTTCGGCTCCAGTTGAGTATGCTATCTAAGTTTATTCCGAGTTATTTATTTGCCTGATCCCTACTCGTACAAACCCCCACGCGAGTTTCTTATTCACGAAATCAAATCAAATAGAAAGTTTCATTATTTAAGAAATGTGTACAATTATTTACTAGAAAATTTCATGATACAAACATTTATTTTTATACCATTCATTAATATTCTTCTCCTTCCCTTTCAACGCACAGCGCAAACAAGTTTGGGTATCATGCAAAGGTCTACATCCCGTCGATGAGGAAAGTATTGGCGAAATGAAATTCTACCCCGGTCGCGGCTTCCCCGCCTACTACTATCCATACCTCAACCAACCCGGCTATCTAAGTCCCTTGATTGCGGTACAATTTGAAAAACTGAAACAAAATCAATTGGTGAGCGTCGAGTGTCGCGCCTGGGCGAATAATGTCATCTATAGCGGTAGTTTGAATGCACGAACTGGTTCGGTAACTTTCCAATTGTTTGTGGATTAAGCGTGCGACGATGGCAGTAGCAACAGCAACAACAACAACAATCAGAATAATAAATAAAATTACAAAGATAAAAAATTTGTAAAGAAAACATGGCGACTTGGCAAACGATATACACGCGCACATACACGCACGCGTAAGAGAGAAAGAGTGTTGAGAATAAAAATGTATTAAATATGTATGAGGCAAAAGTAAGGCGACAACAGAGATAGAAAAGAAATATAAATATTGCAAACACAATATAAACAATTAACAAGTGTAAATGCAGTAAACGCTTACGTAAGGCTTAAATCATTATCTTATCAGAGAAAGATTTTGTGTGGAACTTTGAGAAAATACATATAGAAATGCTAAGGAATTCGATATACATAAATACATACTTATATGATAGCTTTGTGAGTCGCTCGAGTTGTTGTTGTGCTAGCTAAGTTATTATTGAAACGTTCAAAAATCGTTATATAGCAAATTTATTTGTAAACGTGAGGACTTGCGGAATCGTCTGATTAAAAAAAATGTGGTAAACGAATGTTATTTTAATTACTTTTATTTTTTTTTGTAATTTTAAATTAATTAATTCAAGCGAGCTAAAAAAATAGGCTAACTAAGAAGTTTTAGTAAATGAAAAATGTTAAAAAATAAAATATGTTACAAACATATATTTATATGGCGAGCGCAAAATTTATGTAATAACAACAACAATAAAAATCGTATGTATTAGTGCAAAAAACTAAAAAAGAAATGTATTTCAACTGAGCGCTACAACAGAAAAGGCAAAAATTTCGAACGCCCATGCATACAAAAACACACCACACATACATATATATGTACTCTATTGTATTGTACAATTCGAAAATATTTTTTTATAAAATTACAACTTTTACAATTAATAATCAAAAAAAAACATTTTATTGAAAGCTCGCATATGATGTAATACAAATGAGAAAATTAGATATATATATACATATATACATAAAAGAGTGCGTACGTACACACATACGAAAAGCCATTATCAATAAAAAACAAACAAGTAAACATATATGTATGTAGTACATGCAGTTGTATGCTTTGTGTGTAATTTTCTCTGTATGCATTTTTCAAAATCTTTAACATACGCAAATACACACACACACACACACACACGCATATTAGGCAAGCGCAAACACCAACAGCGGCTAGAGGCTGCAGATACAAAAAAAAAACTTTATTAACACTTAAACATATTTTGTTTAGCTTAAAAAATAATAATTACTTTCTAAGCTGAATTTATGAGTATTTATGTATGTATGTAAAAAGTGTAAATTAAAAATAAAAACTGTTATAAAATTACAAAATAAATTATATATCATTATTATTATTATTATTTTTATTTTACATTTTGATGTTATGAAAACGATTAAAAATTGTAATTTACAAAATTAAAAAAAATTAAGATTTATTTACAAAAATGTTTTAATATATTTTAACGGTGTTAGTTTTTTTTTTTTTTTTTGTTTACTTAAATCGTCATTTTCCAATTTTGCTTTTATTTATTCTGTTGTTTTTTTTTTCAATTCTTTTTGATCAAACTCAATTTACGTACACATGATTTGTTGTTATTTTCGATAGTCAATATGCGAACACTGCTTAATTTGCTTTTAGTTTTACTATTTAAGTAGCTTTTAAAATGTATTAATTTTATGCATTCAATTTGTGCGCAACGTCTGACAACATCAGTTTCCTGAAATAATATAAAAAAAAATATAAGAAAAATAGTAAACTCCAACTACAACACCCACTATAATTATTGAAGCGAACAACTAAGTGCCGTTAGCGCATGAGATGTGGCGGAAAAAAATAAATAAATAAATATTTGCTAAGTAATAACGTTCAAATTTCATTTACACTTACATATATGTATATTCATATATGTGTATATATAGTATAAAGAAATGAAAAAATTAAACATTTTAATAAACACACTTACACATTTGTATTTGAATTAATTAAGTAAAATATTTATTTAGCTATTTCAAAAATTTGAAAAATTACATACATACATTATTACATGTTATTTGTACAATAATATCGTAAAAATAAATTTATTTGAAAACCTGAAAACCCACGAGATATTTTTGTTCATTATTTGCAATTTATTAATTTAACTTGATTTTTAGTTTCTTATGTTAAATATACGATATTAGGTTTTACGATATTAGATATTACAATATACACTTGTATGTATGTGGTACTATTAACATATTCACACTGCATTAAAATTCCAAAAAAAAGGAATATATATCAGGGAACATCACAATATTGGTTCCGTGTGTAATAAGATTAATAATATCTTCGGCAATACATTTAATAATAATAACTAACACATGGTCGTATGTATTTCACAAAATACTTTTTTTTCAGGTATGTCGGTACTTTTGTTGCTAAAACACAGTTATACATATTTTTAAATATAATTTCTAGATATTTTTGCTTACAAACGTTTATCTTTATGATTAAAATTACTTAAAGCCTTCAAATTAGAACTTGATTTCATAAAGTTGATCTACTTTTTCTTAATTTCACAATTGTCTATTATCAACATTTGTTAACTAACTTTGAGAAGTAAAATAAATTTATAAGTGTTATTTTTAGTATAGGTATATATATATTTTTTTTTATTTTTTTATTTTTTTTTGTCGGTAACTTAAATATTTAATTAATATAATTCGAATATCATTGCGTTTTAGGTAAGTGTTTACTTCAAGTGATTGTTATTAGATAAATATTGCTGGAGTCTCTCAACTTATGTAACAAGTAGACAAATTATATTATAGTTAAATTTTTACAATCCTTAGGTTTAAATTATCGTACATGTGAACAGGTTATACTTTGCATAAGTTACGGACAAATAGTCAATAGTGTGCGAATAATTCTTAATATAAAATTTATCAGATATTTATATTCAAATATGTTATTATTTAAATACTTAAAATTTTCAATGATTCCCAAGAGAACCGGTTTAACGTATTGAATCTTTCTGGTATCAAATTTTTCTTTACGACAAATAATAATGCATAAAATTGTTAATAAAATTTAACTAAAAAAAAAAACTACTTCAAATAAAAAGGATGAAAACAAAACCAAATAGAATAAAATAAAATAAAATAAAACAAAATAAAATAAAATAAAATAAAATAAAATAAAATAAAATAAAATAAAATAAAATAAAATAAAATAAATAAAAATGAAATGAAATGAAATGAAATGAATTTAAAAGAAATGAAATGAAATGAAATGAATTGAAATGAAATGAAATAAAAGAAAATAAAATGATTTGAAATGAAATGAAATACCTGAAAACAAGTGATTTAGATAAAAAATTAAGTAGAATAAAATGTAAAAAATGTATACAACGAAATAAATTTAAATAAATATATCAAAATAAAACAAAATAAAAAATAATATGATATGAAATAAAATAGCATTAAATTAAATTAAATTAAGTTAAATTAAATTAATTAAATTAAAAAAAGCGTAAATTCTACATAAGTAGAAACATTATATAAATCTAAAATAGAATAAAAGTGAATTAAAAAAATAATTACATATAATGCAGTATGCACTAAAAAGCTACTCTAAAACAAAAAAAAAAATACTACATAACATACTAAAATAGAATAAAATTAAAGGAAATGAATTGTAATAATATATCACAAACGAAAAAAAAAGTAAATATATAAAAATAAAATTAAGAAAAAATTAAATATATATAAAAAAAATTAAATACAATGTAATAAAAAGGGAAATAATAAAATAAAAAATATGAATAATTAATAAAATATAATAAACAAACGATGAATTTAAATAATAAAATAAAAACTGAATATAATGTACCAAAATAGGATTAAATTAAATTAAATTAAATATAAAAATATATGAAAAAATTCACTAAAAAACGAGCAACACTTGCAAATTATTGAATTTTGTTATCAAAATGCGTGCTCTGTTAAGAAAGTTCATAGCGCGCTTCGAAGCTTAGTTTTGGCTTAGTGGGTGCAGAAGCAGAATTGTCGATTTTGCAGTGAAGATCAGCCAGAAGCATTGCAAGAGCTTCCAATTCATTCAGAAATAGTCACTGTTTGGTGCGGATTATGAGCTGGTGGCTTCATTGGACCGCACTTCTTCAAAGATGATGCGAACCGTAACGTAACAGTGAATGGTGAGCGCTACCGTGAGATGATATCAAACTTTTTTTTGCCCAAAATGCAAGAGCTTGACTTGCCTGACATGTAGTTCAACAAGACGGTGCCACAGGCCGTGCAGCACGCGTAACCATAGACTTATTGAGAGGCGAGCGCGGTGAACATTTTATTTCACGTTCGGGACCGGCTTATTGGTCTCTTAGATCGTGCGACTTAACGTCTTTAGACTATTTTTTGTGAAGTTATATTAAATCTAAGGTCTACAAAAACAAGCTCACTTCAATTGACATATTGGAGGACAACATGGAAGCATTTGTTGATGAAATAACGGCCGAAATGTTGGAAAGAGTATGCCAAAATTGGACTAAGCGGTTGGACCCTTTGAGGTGCAGTCACGGTCCACATATGCATGAAATAATTTTCAAACATAAATTTTAATGGACGGTTTTATCGATTCAAATAAAGATTTCATGTATTTTTCTGAATTTTATGTGTCTTTTATAACTTTCCTATAGCTCTTAAAAAATCACCCTTAAAAATAATTTAATTTTAATTAAGGAAAAATATAAAAGAAAAATAAATAACATAAACATATATAATAAAATAGAATTAAAGTATTAAAAATGGCATTAAAATAAATTTAAAAATTTCCGTACTTTGTATAAATGAAAATGAAATTTTAAAATTGTCCTTTTTCAATCCAATAGAATCTAACTACCATATTGATATCAGTGGTTACAATGGTTTTGTTGCCTTGGCTATAGGATTGATTTTAGATTTACGTGGGAATATCTCTTTGTGGATATAAATAGAAAATACCAAATTATCTTTTATCGGCAAAGCAGATACATTTTTCAGATATTTTCATTAATTTATTTATATCCTCATAATAAAATGTTTTCTCCTTATCTATAGAACAAGTATAACGAAAACACATCTTTAACTTCATCATTGGTTGCAATTTTTTTACCTTTCAGCTTTTTTCATTTTTGTAAAAAGGTAATAATCCCTCCGGGCCAGATCTGTCATGTTGAGCGGGTGATTTGAAATATCGAAGCACATCTTATTCAGGGCAGTCAATGCAAGAAGAGTGTTATGTTTACGCAAGCGTGAGAATTCTCAACACTCACCTTGCGCTGATCTTAGTCATGCCAAGATGATGTTGCTGAATTTAGAAATTTAACCATTTCATTCATAAAAATTTCTCTTTTAAAACTTATAAAATCTGAAATCAGGCACATATGTACATATATTTTTGAAAACACTCATATTTACATCTCTTGTTCGAAAATTAATCAGCTCAGTTTGCACAATTTCTTCATAATCTGGTGTTTTATGGTTTTCAAAAATATTTTTGACTACCAACATAACCATCGAATCTGAATACCGCAATATTCTTGGTAATATTAATTTTTTTTGTCCCTTAAACAAGCTTTTGGAGCCAAACTACACGCTGCCACGTTTAGTCGTCTGTTGCTAATATTTTCAGTAAATCCTCCTAAGCAACGGTTTAATAGTACACCTCTGCTGAGGTCATCATATACTGTTGAATGGCTTTAAATATTTCTTGTGGAAGCGGTAATCGCTCAAAGCACTTGCTGATTACACTTTCTACCAGTCGCAAAAAGATTCTGAGCACTTTTCATGCTGTGGATTCCCGTCGATTGAGAGGTTGTGAAATAAATTAGCTAAAATTACATTTTTATTTTTTCCACGGAGTTAAAGTTTCGACTTATTCCCAATTAATTTTACATTTAATTTGCAAATTTCCTTCAATGCCTTTCGTTGGATTTTTTTTTCTAAATATCTGAAACGAGTGCCCATCCTTTTTTGCACATATTCAAAGCATTCTTCTGTTTTACTAAGAAATTTAAATGTTTTTGAATATTTTGTGTACGGTAATATCCAGTTCCTGCTTGTCAGGCAGCCATCCGAAATTGAAAACCCACTCGAACACGCTAACAACCTTTTATCCTTTATTCCGCAAGGTCCAAGGAAGTTTTTAAACTAATAAAAAAATCGAAATCTCTACAGTGGTGTTATCGTTTCCGAAAGCAATGACGATACCTAAATTTATATGTAAGACGAAAAAAAAAAATTCTTGCTGAATATGCTCGGATTTTATGCTAAAATAAGCCCTAAAATTCTGAAATGTTCAATAACCATAGCCGACTTATGGGGAAAAAAGAGTTCCGAACTCATTTTCACACTTCAATCAACCTTAAAGAAAGTCTAAGCTACGAATTGCTGCAAAGCAAGTTTTTCATAAATCTTCGTCCTTTCACAGGACTATCAGCAAACACGTATTTACTGGTCACGGTATGATTTGACGGCTATGAAGGATTTTGAATTATATCATTGTTAGTTGTAACATTTTTTTTACACTATTGCTAAATTAAAAAGGCCATAAAAGAGTCATATTCATTAAAAATACTTATATAGGAAAATACTTGAAATTTTGGAAACAACGATATAAACGAACGGTTATAAAAGAAACGTTGATGGGATTTAAATGACGAAATTATATATTTAATTTTATTTTTATTAGAATTAAAGGTGCTAATAAAACACAAGGGCATGTGCTCTTTCGAAACATTCCGTCAAGAGGCAAAGCGATGTTACACGTGCGGTATTAAGCCTGGTTTGGAAAAATCGACTTTTTTCGAAAGTACCATATATTAAGAATACACTATAAAATTTTGAGAATGAAATCGGAAAAATATCAATATAATTTAACACCTATGTGTGAGCGTCACTTTAAACGCATTTTTCTCGAAACAACATTCTTACGGTCGTCCCTCAGCAGAAAAAAAATTCTATCCAACCGATTGAACAGAAATTTATATATATTATTCTGCTCATCAATAGCTCTCGCAACAACTGGTATATTTTCTTATAGCAATCTTTCCATTTCACAGTCCGAAATCTATTCAAAATAAGTCACTTTTTTCAAAGTCAACCTTTTTTTTCAGAGTTGTGAAGATTTTTTAAAATTGTGCCGAGATGATTTGGATGAAATTTCTAACCGAATTGCAACTGTTAATGAAATTTGGATTCATCAGTAAGATCCCGAGTCTATGCAGGAGTCATTGCAGTGTGTCAAAAAAAGAAGAAAGGCTACGAAAGAAAATTCAAAGCAAAAAGTCGCCCTTGAAGATTACGACTACCATTTCCAGGCAGGAGAAAGGAATATTATTAATTGATTACTTGCCAAGAGGAACTACATTGAACGGCCAGTATTACGCTCTTTTGCTGAGGCAGTCGTACAGAAGAGACGTGGCAAGTTAGCGCGCTGAGTGCTGTTTTTTTCAAGACAACGCACTCGTTCACACTGCTCGGATTGCGAGGAATGCCTTAAAAGCTACTGGATTTAAAGAAATTTACAATCCAACCTACAGTGCGGATCTGGCTGTCGGTGACTTTTTCGCTTATTTAAAATTAAAAAGAAAGTTACGGGTACTAAGATCTTCAGACGACAGTGAGATGAAAGCGGTCGGAGAAAATCATTTTGAAGACAAATCTAAAGAGTATTTTTTCAGGGGTATAAAGAAATTGTATTAACGATCTGAAAATTGTAACATATTGCAAATAAAAAAAACATGAAACTTTTTAAATTAAAATTAAGTGCTATAGGTCGCGAACTTATCAGACGTCCCTTGTATAATACAAAAAGTATTTGATTGAGTTTAATTGTATAAACAATAACAAGCAAAAAACGTGCATTTTGGTATTTTTTTCTGAAAATAGCTGGTTTGATATCGTAATAAATTCAGATGTGATCTAGACCTTCGATATTTCACTATTGAATAACTTCGTCCGGCCCAAACAGTGAGTTTTTGATCGCGCAGTGGTGCTTCGTGAATGGCGTGTTGGTTTTCTGTTCCCCAAAATCGACAGTCTTGTTTATTGAATCCGCCGGAGAAAGTGAAATTCTAATTCTTTCATATTTTTTACGATAAGCACGCATTGTTTTCACAACTGAATGATTGTTTTCAATATAAAGCGCTATGATTTCAGCGCGTTCATTCGGTTTGTATTGGCTCATGGTTAAACACTGAACATTGAATGAAGTTTCAGAATCTTGTACATTTGTAAAAATCGGCTATAAACCAACAAAGTTATAACATGTTGAAATACCTAAGGTCCAGATGGCGCATATATTTATATGTTATTATATATATATATATATATTATTTCATTGAAATGTTTTTGTTTGTTTGGTGGCCCTAAGGCATGTAAAATTTGCTCTAAGATTTCCTGTGTCAAAAAATATGATAAATTTATGTGACCAGTACAATTAAATAACGTCAAAAATTATTTAACTAAGTGCAACATGTTTGTTCTGAAATTTATGCGATTTTGTTTCGAATGTAGAGTCTCACGTCTCGCATCTCTTTTTTGTCGATTTAAATTAAATTTTATTTAAAAACATTTTTTTAATTTCAAAACGAAATCATTTTCAAAAATATTCAACATTATTAAAATATTTAGAGTGGAAGTTTTTCATTTCCTAAAACACTTGTATCGAAAAAACACTTTTTTTTTTGGAATGCATTTATGCAAGTAACAACCTCTTCTAATGCACAATTTTACATAACCTATATATGTATGTAACATAACTACGTTTTACTTATAACATTTCGTCAAATATAGTCTTCTATATTAATATATATTATTTTTAATAATTTATTGAAAATAATTTAACTAACTACTGGAATAGTTTGAGTTGTATTTAAATGAGCGTAACAAACAACTCAAGACACTTTGGCACCCCACGAATCGGTTTCGTGATACATGCGCAATATGTTATCCTTGATGAGTTTGGTTTTCTCTGCAAATGTCCGTTATACGAAGGAGAGATCGTTAAATTAGTGCCAGGAATAACTGAAATTACGCAAAACTTACCTTTTGATAAAGTATGGCTTGCCGTTGCCGATTGTTTCTTCAAAAATTCTAGGCACATATCTTGAGGTAGGCCCAATGAGTGCATGTTGCAAGTGAAGCCCCTGAAAAAAAGTAGAAATTAATATTGGTCTAGTAAAAAGTAATGCATTATTTTTGCCATAGATAGCTCTAGTGATCTGTATCACGTGTTTTATAAAAGCGATTGGCTTATGCTAGATGGCGTTAAAAAGACGATATTTTGTCCTAAAAGAGATACTGGGGGAAATATTAATCACTTAACTCAGTAGTGCTTTAGCGCGTGTCATAGATGGCTACCAGCTAAGAGGAAATACTGTGTATTCTCTAAATTGTCTTCGATAAAGGAGAAAACTCAAGTCAGGCAGCTCAAAAAGGGGATAGGGTTCATGGTCCTGATACCACTTTTAGTTCCGCTCACTTTTAGTTTCGCCGATTTCTCTCTCTCTCTCTCTGCCGGAGTTGGAAATTTTCGAATGAGTGGCACAAGCCCAAGTGGGTTGGAATGATTTTTCAGTTTTGTGAGGTACTTAGTTCTACTTCTTCTAGCTTCATGCTTGAACAAGAAGGATACTAAAGTCCTTATGTATGTTTAAGTGAGCGTCCATTATCACCTCTGCAGATTTGAGCTGAAACCTTGGTATTTGTTCAATATTGTTTGGCATTTCATCACGGAAAGCTTTGCGCCTGAACAACGTTTACAAATCGTTCAACTTTATTAAGAAAATTTACATTCCGTAAAATTTACATAATTTTTCATTGGAGCTGGTTTCTACGTGGCGCGTCCCAAAACCAACGCACAACCTAGCTAGGCGAGTAAGATTAAAGTTTTTTACACATATATATAGCGCGCCGTTTGCGTTAAGACCGACGCCCGCTCGCAGCCGAACCTCTGGTGAAAAGACGCATCAATTATATTTTAGCAGACCCCTAAACTGCATAAGTCGGAGTGATTCCACTGAAGCCGTGAGTCAACCACGGTTTGGTTACCGCATCTTTATGGTCCTATGCTCATTGACAACGGCGAATACTGCAGGCGATGGAACGATGAGCTGTACGAGTTATACGGCGACATTGATATAGTTCAGCGAAGTAAGAAGCAGCGGCTACGCTGGCTAGGTCATATAGTCCGGATGGATGCGAATACTCCAGCTTTGAACGTTTTCAATGCAGCAGCCGCCGGTGGAAGCAGAGGAAGAGGAAGACCTCCACTCTATTCGAAAGACCAAGTGGAGAAGGATTTAGCTGTACTTGGTATTTCCAATTGGCTCCAAGCCGCAAAAAGAAGAAACGAATAGCGCAATGTTGTTAAACGGCTAAAATCGCATAAGCGGTGTCTACGCCAGTAAAGTAAGTACGTAAGTACGTTCTGTAAAGATTGTGTTTCGCGAACTTCGCTCCATTGTCAACATAATCGGCATACTGAGCTCACTATTCGCAACACCATCACCCATCTTGAGACCCAGCTTTCATTATTGGACAAGATTCGATCGAATAGACTGCGCCCAGAACTTAGTTATTATATTCACAGAGAAAGAGGCTACACGAAGACCGCGGAAAGTTTATTCGGCGTCGTTCGCAGCAACTAGGACTAATGTATGGAACGACCTGGGGCATTTTACGTCGAGATCTTAAATTGAAAGCGTACAAAATACAGCTTGTGCACGAACTGAAGTCACTCAACCTTTCCAAACGAGATCGCTGCGCTCAATGAGCTCGTGAAAAGTTCCAAAAAGATCACATCAAACCATAAGACTTTTTCTGTGGGTATTTGTAAAGTCTGTAGTATACGCTGGCAATTGCGCTTCCATTTATGGCTTGGAGCAACGCACCACACGTGACACCTGTCAATCACCGAAAATTGGACGGATGGACCATCTGAGACATAGCCGCGGGCAACATTTGAAGGAGATAGTCTTGAAAAAATAAATGACGAAGAGAGTTCTTTCGGATGATAATAAACATTTCCCACTAAATTTGAATTTTCTGTGTTTTTTTTTTTGTTTAAAAAAGTATTAAAGCTCGAAATGAAATATTTTAGCATCTCCTCGTGCGTATGTCTCTTTCCCAGGAAGCTCTGTATCTGAGTGTGTGCTGAAATATAGTTATTATGTCGTTTTCCTGGGGAATATTTATACTACAGTAGTACTCCTTGAACTCGAATGCCTTCCTAATTTCATTATTAATTCGGTTGACATGTTCCGCAGTACGTTTTTCACAAAACCCGAATTTATATGTTGGTATCACTTTGTTACGATGGAGAAAATTCTTCCCACTTATCTTAGTTAGCCGAATTGTTTCAAATAATTTGGAAATATAGATTAGTCGACTTATTGGTATAGTTTAAGAATAACAATGAAGAACTCAGGGACCAGTGCTAATGCAACTCTTGGCAGCTCTTTTAACCTTTTTGGTATAATAAAGTTTGAAGATTTTTTTGATCTAATTACTTAGTCGCAATTACAACTTCCTGTGATGATGTTTTAATCGTCTGCTGAGTTCCACGTGCCGATCTCGGTTAATTCTAGCAACATAAAAGTATTAATTGCATCATATCATTGGAATACCTTGCTTCAATGTTTGGCAAAACAAATTGCCTTCTCTTCGTTATCACGCGTCCAATTGAGTTAACGATTAAAAACCTCAAAGAACGAATTTTCATTTGTAAATCGCTGATGAGTCGTAACGAAATCGATCCATTTCTGAGAAAGGTGGTGACTGCTGATGGAAATTGGATCACTTAGAGCAATGCTAAACGAAAAGGGTTTTGGTCGGAGATCAGTGAACCAACACAATAAGTCAAGCCGTCCAGGGAGGTATTTTTTTTGTATTTGATGGGATTGGCAAGGAATCATCCACAATGAGCTGCTCCCTTACGGCCAAACTCTTAATTCGGACCTGTAGTATTAGTAAGAGGACAGAAATGAGAATTGTATTTCAACGCCAGAAGTTTGGAGAGCTTGGTTGGAAGGTTCTTATACCGGCACTCGCACTCAGTGCTTACGATCCACTCCTGTTTATCGCGAACGATTTAGCTGGTGAAGAGAACCCTGTGAAAATCGATTGTCCCAATTTTTGTCCAAGGGTTTCAATGGGAGAAGCACAATGACATTACCTTCAAAATGGCAAAAGTTATCGGGCAAAACGGTGCATATTTCACACAACAAAGATAATTTTTAACTATGATATAAAAAAGCCTTAAATTTAATGCAAAAATAATAGGAAATCACAGGAAATAAGAGAAAGTGAATAAAAATGTGATCACCCTAACTTCCACATACGTGCACATATTTTAGAATCTCATTAGCCTCTTGAACTTACCCCAGTTGTCGAAAAACAATATTCTCTATCGAATGCAGATCCAGCTGCGAATTCTGCTTCCCTGCCACCGATGCGCCCATCACAGCCGTTGTCTCCGCCGAAGCGCCAGCACCACCACCATTCACTGAGACTTGCTCTTCGGCACTTGTTTGTGAAGCAGATTTCTTAGCGGACTGCACCTTTAAGGCCACAATATCGCCATGTTGTGAGGAACTGGACGTGGAAGCGATTTCCCCATCAACAACAGCACTAACAAGGTTCACCTTTTTGGGAGATGCTTCAACTTCAGACCCAACATCTGCTGCTGGTGCATTGTCTTTCGGAATAGATTCGTCGTTCGCTTTCTTTGCAGCGAATTGTGCTTTATTTCGCTGTTTTCGCTCTGCACGTCGCTTACGCAATGCCAAACGATGCTCACGTTCACTTTGCACCGCGTCGAAAAAGGCAGCGGCCCAAAAGCGTTGACTATACCAAATTGGCTGCTGACGCATGAAAATGTAGAGATACTCACGATACGGATCACAGCCAGGAACTTCAACTGCACAATTCAAATGGTGAATTATAGACTTTACACAAATCCACACATTCATTCATACTCACTTTCATTGTAGAAAACAAAGCAAATATTCATAATTATCGCCGCCGGCGCATAATCCTCACTCTCGCCGCACTCGAATAAGACGATGGCGAAATACTGCACCAATGAATGGAATGTCACCTCATCGACACGCTTGGATTTAGTCTTTTGTTCGAGTAGAAACCGTGTAAACCACTGACGTCCCGCATCGATGCGCGCCAAAGCGCCGAACTCCGCTTTCAACTCCAAACCAATCGCTGTGGCATTTGAGAAGAGCACCTCAACGAAACGTTTCATGAATTCCTTTACCGGCTCCTCGCCGGCACGACAATCTAAACTTATGGACGATGCCCATGAGGGCACGGAGTTTTGCGACTCTGAACGTATAAAATTACGCCAATCTGTAGACTCAATACTGGGGCTAGCTTGCACATCGGGATCGTCACGCAAACTCGTCACTGTACTGCTGTTTGAATTCCTACTACGTGGTGGCACCACCATACTCGTACCGGATTGCGTCATAACCGGTATATCCATATGCAGGTGCGTGGGGTGATTGCGTTGTTGTTCAGCGATATTGTTACAATCACGATCCGAAGGCGGCTGCACGTCTATGTGCGGTGCACTGGCATTCGCAGCTATGGCATTCACGCTAAGCAAATCGGTAATGCGCGATAAATCTCTTTGTATATCGAGCTCGCTGCGACGTGCGCCGGGTATGGCACGCCCGGGGCGACCATAGCCGCCGGAATGGCGTGACTCTATGGAATTTGAACGCGTGGTACTACTCACATGTGAACGATTAAGGGGTGGCGAATACGAAGACGATGTTGAGCTGGAGGAAGAGGAACTCGAATCGGAACGTTTGGTTTTATCGTGTGCGCGTGTACGGGAGGCCTCCAAGCGTGGTCCTGTGATATTTAGTAAAAGTTTAACTTGATTTATTTTCGAAAATGTTTCGCTCAAATTACTTACGTGGAGCCAAGTTTGGATATCGAAACCGTCCTGATATGATTTCTTCGTGCGCTCGTCGCGCCTTAATGCGACGAAACTCATAATCGATTTTCGTGTAGTCGATTGTTTCGTCAACTATGAAAGTGGAGAAAATAATTATAAAAACAAAGTATTATTTCGTTGATGCTTACAATTAGGAACCTCCTCGTCGTCATCACAATACTCCGATTCGCTGGAGCTAATGCTGAGCGTGAGCTGGAAGATAGAAAGTGTCAGTGCTATAAAGTTAATGTCTTACTTGTTAATCTAGAGAAGTGTTCAAAAAGTATTAGGAAACAATGGAGATGAGTGCCTCTATAAGACTGTCTAGGCTCAATAAAGAAATATCTGAAGCCTGATATTTAAGATTTCACGAAGTTCTCTCCTCAAGCACTAAACTGTAAACAAATTTCGCCTTAGTCTAAAAAGTTTTCTATTTCTCTGATGAATACCAGATGCACTCAGAAGTGGACTTCCTTATATTGTATAAAGGAATTGACTATACCGGTCCTAGTGTTTCACCAGAAGTCAGCATCACTCAAGTGTGTAAAGAAAACTTCGCCTCCAAATTGTCATCTAACAGACTCAGTCTAACCTGAACACTTGAAGAAAGGGCTGCATATATAAATGTCTGCTGAGGAGAGGAACAGTGAACATCTAGACGGTTAGATAAAATGTGATTTTTTCCTGACATAAGGTTCTCATTGATCACGAGCTCACTCAACTATAGTAGGCTTACAATTCTAAAGTATTCGAATTTAATTTAAGTCACTTTATCAACAATATAGGTCTAAGGACTTTCTAAGACCCGATTCCTGAGAATCTTAAAAAGCATTTATTGTATGACCATTTGTTCTGTTCTTTATCTAGTTTTGGTGAGTATGTGATCAAGACCCAAGTTCAGTGGTACAAGTGATTCTCTTTTATGGAGCGACCAGCGGCAAACAAGTCAACAAACATTAACCTCGTAAGCAAAATACAAATATCCATACAAAAATTAACAGCAAAAGAGACCTTAATTGTGATCTCCAACATATTTCCTCTGAACTTAGTGTTCCATACAGACATCAGCTGTAACTACCCTTCGACTTACGAAAGCCTCTAAAAGGCTGGACTTCAAGGTTATGCTGATAGAGGAAATCGTCTAAAACTTCAAAGTTAAGACTATGTCCCGGCAGTCAACACCCGAATGCGTTGACTGTTTGTTTGTTTAATCTCAGAAGATATTTTGGCTTGCACCTCACTTACTACCAAATCCATTTGCTCCCTTATCCAGTATGGAGAAGGCTTGCGACGAGAGTAGAATAACGTAGACTCTTTAGTTCTGCAGCTCGTATTAGTTTATCCAGCAATAGGTTGAAGCTTCATTCGGTATCGAATGTCTCGCAGAGGTCCCTTCCCCCCCAAGTTCTGACGGAGCTTTCGATGTTACTCAGCGTCAGTTTGCATAGCTGTAGATATTTTGCGGGGAAATCAAACTCAGACATAGCGGCATTGAGCACTTTGAAAATCTTTTAATGTGTGTGGATTCTTTTCTCTCGGTTCCTCTCCCAGAGTCGCTGAATGGAGAACAGCTGGTAAATGGCCGATTCGCCAGATTTGAATTTATCCTGATAAGATTTAAACAGTATGTTCGATAAGACCTAATATGTGATCTTGAGGAGGCTTAACCAACGGTAATTGGCACTGATTGTGGGTCCCCCCATTTTATGGATTGAGCACACTTCGGTTCAAACCGTCTAATATGCTTGCGTCCGAACGTATTCTGCAAAGAATTTGAAGCATGCACCAAGAAGGTTCTTCGTCGAGGTTTTTGATTAGTTCAGTTGGTAAAACATCATATTTTGGCTCTTCGTTATTCAAGTACTTTATATTCCTGTGCTTTAAACTCTCGCTTCGTCTACCTGCAAATTCGTCTTATTTCCCTCTTCAACTCTTGGTATCTGGTATCAGTCGCAGTTTTGTTTCCCTTCAATGTAGTAGGACAATCTGAGTCTTACCAACTCTTCAGTTATGCGTAGTGAGCTAAAATTATTACCAAGCTGTTGTTTGGTCGTCTATTGTGTTTGCATCTCTTCGACGTCAAATCCTGCCTGTGTTTGTTGATGCGCGTTGTTGTCAAAAGTGGCTGTATGTCTTGGCTGCAACAAGATAATGGTCCAAGTCGATGTTGGAGCACCGAAGAGTACGTACATCGAAAACATAGGAGACGAATCTTCCGTCTTTCGATCCGGTAAGATGATTTTTCAGTATCGGTACCTGATATTTCCGATAACCATATTTAAATCCTCGACGAACTCCATCAGCCGCAGTCCGCTTGGAGATGCTTTGTCATGTATGATGAATTTTCCCACGCTTGTATTAAAGTTGTCTTCTTTGCGCACCCTGTCATTAAAATCCCCTACCACGGTTTTCATGTCGTGACGTTAGCAGCAGGTGACTAACATCGTATTTCTCTTCCGTCGGGGTGTAGATCAGCAAAGCGTTGAAAAACTCGCTCTAATGCGGACAATGGTGAAACACTCGTCCAACGGTGGCTGAGACTCTTGCCCACTAACAACTCATTGTAGTAAAATCACAAAGACCTATCTATAGGTGGCGAGGATATCAGCCCTACAAGGGGCGTAGGATTTAGATTTTAGACTTATTTACATTGCGAGCCGTCGGCTACAACATCGATGCTCACTCGCAGTCGCACCTCTGGTGAACACACGATGCAATTAAGCTTCAGCAAACTCTAAAGCGGAACATGGCGGAGTGGCTTCACTGAAGCTTTCTCTTTTTAAGACGTGACTCAAAGCTCAACACGATCTTGCAACAGCATCTTACATAATGTTTCCAGAGTACGGTAGGTAATTGGAAAGTAGGGTATGAATAGAGCCCTGCGACCGTGACTGCATAACCAAAAGCATATCTTCGCCTCAATTACATCTGACAGATCTAGTTCATATATTGGGTTAATCAAAAAAATAATCCTGACACGAATGGTGACTGTTGATGAAAAGTCGATCACTTACAGCCAGCGTTATCGGTCTCTAAGCCCGTTTTTGTCGCTAAGAAGGTTTTGCAGCGTGTTTCGTGGGACTGCCAACGAATCATCCACCATGAGCTGCTCCTCTACGAGCAAAATTTTGACTCGGACTTGGACTATCAGCAATTGGGTGGTCTTAAGGAAGTAGGTGCCCAGAAGTGCCTATCTTTAACACACACGAGGGGATTTGGATTTAATCAGGACAACCTCAGACCACACACATTGGTAAAGACTCGCCGTAAGCAGCAAAAGTTTTGTTGGTAGGTTGTTATGTAGCGTGGACCTCGCACCAAGTGAATACTACACGTATCTACTGTTGTCAATGCCGACTGGTTTGGCCTCCAGAGTAGCCTGTGAAAATCGATTGTATCAAATGTTTGACAAGAAGAACAAGGTCTTCTATAAGAGAGACATAGTGACAATACCTTCAATATCGCAAACAATCTCCGGAACTTGCGTGAACCGCGCAACTATAACGATAAAATAATTTTTAAAACGTTTAACCTTAGTGGCACATCCGCTCACACCTACACCAGCGGACATCTAAGTCCAGCTTGATCTAACTCTGTTATTCTCCACTTCCAGAGGATTCTCACAATCTACGGTCTTAGAACGATCTTCCAATTCACCCCTCACAAGTGAGCTAAAGCTGCCTTTATGCCAAAAATAGTACAGCTTAACGGTGGAGCATCTCCAGTTATTCAATATTACACACACACACTCACACACACACACACACTGACGGATTGAATTGAAATCAATAACCGCAGGCATATTTCTATTTTCACTTTATTATTGAAAAAAAAAATATTTAACTAAACTCTTACACACGTTAGCTCACCACTACATGGACAAAGCTCAACCATAATTTTCTCTTCATTTCCAATACACGCCCACTTGCGGCCTTCCTGCTCACCTTCAATGCACACACATACAGACATACAGCCAGTACATCTGTACATGCATTAATATTTCTTTTACATGAACTTAACCCAGATGTGCCAATGCGATGCACACAATGGCCTCGACAATGGCACAATCGAATTGCGGCAACAGCAATTGGCAACAAACAAACATTGCTAACTGTTGTCCAAAAAAAAAAAAAAACAAAAAAAAAACACTCAGCCAGACCAGCACAGCAGCAGAAATATGAAAGAAGAGAAAAAAATTAAAAATCAAAAAGCGACAGAATAAAATAGAAAAAGTAATAATCCACATTCCGGTCTGTCGGTTGGAAGTGTTTGGCGCCCCTGAACTTAACCATGATGCAGCCTGCACACACATACAGACCGACATATGTACATACTCGTTTGTACCTACATACATGTGCACAAGAGATATTGGCTTGACAGTACCACTACGTCCAGAAGTGGGTATTCGGGTGGCGCGGTTGAGCTGTTTATTCAACTCGGTCTTCGGTCGATGTCACAGCGGGTGACAGTCGAGGCAAATGCTAAGCGTTATTGAATGATGTCAAGCATATTTTATGCAACGTATATAGTTGAGGGTTTGTGTTCGACCACAAGGTATTAAGGCAAAAGAAAATTAAGGAAAAAAAAAAAAACGAAAACGAAAAATAAAAAAGCAAACTGAAATAATCCATAAAACCAGTGGTTTACGCAAATATAGTTATTTAGGATATTAACTACAGGGGTGAGTGGACACAACGGCCAATTTCGTTTACTTAAACCCTTCGTAAACTCATGGAAACATCATTTTTAGACTTTGATCCACGGCAGAACCCTCCTTAGTAGTCCACAAAGACTCTTGGACCTTAGAAGTAAGAATAAAAACCAGTTCGGTCGGCACAGGAGTCACACTATACACCTGATTATGAGGCGTTGTCACTTATATATAATGAGACTGATTATATTGCCGCGATTGTGGTAACCCTGCGACCTGAATATTCCCTTTCCCTTCTCCCGGCATCGTTCTTCTCTCCATTGATTTATTTGCCATCGCTCTAGCTTGTTTAGTTCGCCTTCTGTGTCGTGTTGAGTAAACGTGTGTTTGTGGTGCTCGTCACGAAAATGGAAAACTGAAATCAAGAGCAACGCGTAGCGATAAAATTTTGCGAAACGGACGGTAAAATTGTAAAAGTGCATGGTGAAAGGGCTCTTAGTCGTGTATGAATGACATAAAGAGTTTAAGTAGGAGCGTGAAAGCCTGGAAGACGAGGCGTGGAGAGAGAGACCACTGTCAGACAAGTTTTAACCTACGATTTTGAATGAAAAAGTTTTGCACGAAGATGATTCCAAAGAACTTTTCCGAAGAGCAAAAACTGCATCAAATGACCGTGGCAGAAGACTGTTTGGAAAAAGTGGAAAACGATTCCACGCTGCTTGATCGAGTTATTACAGGCGACAGGACATCTTTTTGTTCCCTAATACAAAATCGGTCGTCAAAGTAACCCATTTTGAGTCGATTGAGGACATCCAGGCAGCCGTGACGAGGGTACTCGCGGACATCCCAATGGAATCGTTCCAGAAATGTTACGAAGCATGAAAAACGCGCTGGAACCGTTGTATATCTGCACAAGCGAACTACTTTGAAGGAGATGGCAGAGTTGAAATATACGGTTTTTATGGAATCAGTCTCATTACTGAATTGTCACATCTCGTATGATATTTCCAGAGTAGAGTTGGGCAAATGATGGTAGAGCTTCTATGGAAATGACAAACTGAGATGAAGGGATTTTAGTAACCTGATTCCTCAGTTAGCAAAATAAACCTTATCCGAAAAGAGTTATGCCATGAAACCCTGATTTATTCCAGATGCCGTCAAACTATATCCTAGCAACCTCTTTTCTTCTCTCTGCAATGAGTTACTCTGTAAAAGTATATATATAATTGGCGACGCGATTTTTTCGCTCAAGCTCCTCCCTCACTTTGTGGTTTTGCCTGTTGAAGGGTTTTGAGAACGGTCCATATCAAGGGGGAAACATTGCTGAAGCCAATTCGACAAGATAATCGGAAAAGTGTAGCCAAAGAAACTTCCATTACATGGTTACTAAAGCTAGAGAACGAAAGAAATATTGTGCTCAACAGACTCTTCTTTTCTTGGTCCCGATAGTGGCGACATTAAAGTAATAACCTATAGTCTTGACCTGAAGCTGCATTTAACTTTGTTCTATCATTGTAGCCGTTGTTCCATTGACCCAGAAGCGGTCGAATTGGATTAAATATCTGGATCTTTTTTCGTCTAGAGAGATTCGTGCTTCTAGAAAAGTCTACTTTTGTGGGCTTCTTTTTTTTTTTCTTTTTGTCACATACAGCGATACTTTCGTATCACGTACATGATTTAGTGTGGCCAGGAGGGTTCCTCCTTACGTAGTTTTATCCACCTCGGAGCTGTCAGGGACCTCGGTTGTACTGTATTTGTTCGATAGTTTGTTAAGAGTGTCAGCATATATTTTAATTAATTGTCTTGTGGCTGTAGCTTTAGCTACCTTTCGGTGCGTTCCACGATAGCAATTAGTTCTGTTTTAAAGAAGCTGAGTGAATCAATTAATCACCCTACCAACGAGTTCTGAGCCGTCAGTTAAGATGGCTACAGCACTTTGATTCTAAGCGTTTGCATTTTGTGAAGCATAGACTGCCGAAGCCAAAGTTAGAGATGCTGAAGTGCACCTCTTTCGAAAACTGTGCGATAGAAAATTCATCAAAAGCATAGCGGCGTTCAGTCCAATTGCGTTGCAGCACGTTTGATATGTTCTGAATAGTTCTAGACATGGACCGAGTAATGAACGAGAAAAGGATGAAATATCTCTTGTATAAAAGAAACGGTCAACGCATTTGACACAATTGACAGTCAAAACATTGAAGCAAGCTCTCGGCTGACATCCAACGCAGAATCACTCTTGTCAGTTCTCCTTGGGCGTACAAAGACCAAACTATAAAAGTCGCTTTTCGCACTCGCATTCTTAAGATACAATGGCGTGCACGCTTAACAACATCCGATTAGTCGACTTTCAGAGGCATCAAAAGAAATGTTTTAGGGAAGATTTACGGTGCTCAGCACAGGATACCGTATTCGATGAAACATTGAGCTATACAAGACAGCTACTCCGCTTGCCAGGTCATGTGAGCCAGCATTGGAATATTTATATGGTGTGGGTCTTGACGTTTGTCAAAAAATAGGAGACCTACAATTTATTCTGATACCCCTTCAAACAGCCGACCGATCTTACTGAGGAGCTCTTATTACATGTCAGAAATACACTCGGGGGGCTTGACATTCTCTGCCGAGAGGAGACCGTAATTCTATGAACTATTTTTACTATAATTTTCGATGTTGGTTGTACCAAAACCCTGGCCTTCAGGATAGTATTACACAATACAAACCAATCAGCTATCGGGTTTAACTACCACCATATATATTCGGGATTGTCAGACCCCAACTTTTGTTAATGGCCGATATGTAATGGTGTACTATAAATACAGCCTACCTGGACATTATGGTATGTAGGGTTTTAATAAGGGTAACTTAAATGGTTCGGAAGGCTCGGGTTCAAATCCCTGTGCGACCAACATCCAAAAGTTAAAGAAAATTAATTTAAATAAAAAATTAAGTTAAATTTTTTAATTGCGGTCGCTCCTCAGCAGGGAATGTCAACCCCTCCGAGTGTATTTCTGACATGAAATAAAGCTCCTCATAAGTTAACCATCAGCCGTTCGGAGGCGGCCAAGTATAAACTGTAGGTCCCTCCATTTGTTGGAAAAACATCAAGACGCAAAACCACAAATTGAAGGAGGAGCTCGGCCGAAAATCGCTTCAGCGGTTACAAAGCGCCAATTATATATTATATATAGCTAAAAAAGGTATTGATTTGCCTTCCCTCGGTTTTTGCACGGTTGACATCCAGTCCACTGTCTTTACACCAGTTTCCTACAGTGTACTCTTATGCAGCATTTGGAAGTTGGTTAGAGGAAACGTCATCTGTCTAACGCTTGCTATAGCTTATGGCGATGATAAAGTAATCATGATAGTACCGATACGGATGAGTAGATGAGCAGAAATCAAGCTAGTATATATAGTGGTCCAAAACAGGTTCAGGTAGCTTGATTTTTACTCACCTACTCATCTACTCTACCTACGCTGACATTATTTGCAAAATAAGTCATTCTTCTACGGAAGGCTCAAATCTCGACTAGAAAGATTTATAAGAAAGATTACTTTCAGAAACTCTCTGTCAGAAGTAAGTACGGAGGCTTTGGTCGATTGAAAATCCACTCTCATGTAGGGCATGTTACATTTGGTATAGATATCTTCAAACCTTACAACGGTTAAACTAAAAAAGTTCCCAGTTTTTAACGTCATTCTGTTTGAGGGGTTACCTAGGTCTTGCTCCTTCAAAAACTTCATTTTTTTGATCATTTTTTGTATCAAAGTACAAAGTGTCACGAATATTTTCCTCAAGTTTCAAGTCGTTCGAGGCGAAACTGTAGAAATTAGAGAGTTTTATAACCCGCCGTCTATGTCATGGCTTGACCGATGGTGAAACTTTAAACGCATTTTTCTCAAAAACAATTTATCGAAATCGGTAGTCAAAATTTCTCAACGACTATTGAAGCGATCGAGTTCAAATTCCCCTCACTTCTTTAAGCATATTTCTGTAGTCCCTCAACGAAGGATTTATTTTATCTTCAATTTCAACTCATTTTACAAGCCAATATGTGACTTAATTTAATGCAAAAAATTACGATTTTTGTAAAAAAAAACGCTACAGAAAATTCAATTTTTAATTTTCTTAATTTTTCTTCGTTCAGAGATAAGGAAAATTTACCTGCTTTAAGGAAAATTTTGAATTTTTGATATAATGACTAACGCGAGAGCACTTTCTTATGGACGGTCTACTTCACGACACTGCCAACGCCTTAACTTTTTCTTTTTTGCATTCAAATTTTCATCAAATATTGTCCGCATATTGTACTTCTATATGTAGATAAAATAATTTGAGTACTTTATTTGGTATCTTTAAAAAAAACTAGAGAAAATCAGCTTTTTTGGCCTACAAGACCTATGTAACCCCTTAAATAAGATATTGAAGATGCAATTTTTGATTATTTTCAAATACATTGCCAAATAGGAGAGCAATGATTGATTTTAAGATTTCTCTGAGGGAAACATAACCTCAAAATTGTTTCAGTATTATCTTATTAAGGAGTAATTATTAATGTTTTCCCACTCACCTTATTCGACAGTCCATTCAGCAATTCGTTACTATTCCCAAGTACCGTTAAAAATTTCGACTTCAGTATACCAATACCCGGCGTACGGCCCATAAAATTTTTAATTTTCGAACGCTCACCACCGGGAGGTGTGGGCGGACAAGTATTTAAATCGACCATATTTTTATTATTTATATTAGTGTTGTTGTTGTTGTTGTTGTTGTTGTTGTTGTTGTTGTTGTTGTTGTTGTTCTACATACACCACTTCACCACAGCGGCAACACTTAATTAATTGATATTACAACGCGTGACCTTGTGCTGCATGTAAATGACTGCAGGCGTGTGTATGTGTGTGTGTATTTCAGTTGCACCCGCAGCACTTTAAAAATGGCCAAAATTCGCTTGGCGTTTCCTTTTTTTTTTTGTATTGAATTTTTTTTTTTTTTTTTATAAATTAATTTTTAATTTAATTCGATTATTGTTATTTTTTTAAAAGGCCAACAATTTTGGTCAGCTGCACAACATATCCATATGGTAAGAACTCAACAACTGCGCTACACAATCGCATTGATGGTGGTCGTGAGTATTACGTTATCGGCATAAAGCTAGTAGGTGGCTGGACTTGGCTTAAGTATGAGTTTTTTTGTTGTTTTTTTTTTTTTTTTTTTGTTTTTCAAGTTTGTGTGGAAAAATGCGATATATTTAATACGCGGACCTACTCGTACTTGTACATGCAAATATGCGGCTCGGCGGCTGCAAAGGCATGCCACACCAGCACACCAACGCACACTATATGCTTGTTTGACTTCGTTTGTTAGATCTATCTACATAGGTATGTATGCGTATGTTCGTGGGCCAAAACAGCGTCAGCATTACCGTTGTTTATTGTTGATGTGCTATCGATTTTTTCCGCTGCAGCTACATATGTTTATGCGCTACGAAATACATATTTATGTATGTATGATATTTTCATTGCGTGCATATTGTCAGTAGGGTGTGTTTACACATACATACACATCTCTGTTTATTATATGTATATGTGTATTTGTGCGTTGCTTTGAGTTGTTCCTCACAACACCGACAGAAATTTAACCATTAAACGTACTGAGTTGAGTTGGAGAATTTTTTTTTAGCTTTTCGCCAATTCTTTGAAGGTTATAATTTGGCAAGCGATGGACGCGCCTACCAAGGTTGTATTGTACAACTGCAATGAAGAAGCAACATTCGCAGTATATATATGTGTGCAGCGGGCAGAAGTTTGGCGTGGAAACACTTTAATTAACACATAAGGAAAATGGCGAAGAAAAGTCTGATTTTTATTATTTTTTTTTTTCGGAAAAACTTAACTAAATTTAATAGCCAGCACACTTTGCTTGAAATATTTTTTGTTACTTTTCTATTATTACTAATTTATTTTCTCTTCCCAGTCTATATATTTAAATACCATTTTTTGAAATTTTTATTACACGTCATTCTCAGTTATGGCAATTTTATTTAAAAGTTTTAATTTTTTTATCAATTTTTTAATATAATTTTTATTTTTTTTAAAGCAAATTTGATTTGATTTTTTTTGGTTTAAAATTTCATTTTTTTTAATTCTTGACTCATATTAAATATTTAAAAAATTTTTTTTTTATTTTTTTAACATTAACTTTATTTCTTGAAATCAAACTTTCATTTGATTTTATTTGGCTAAATTTTTTTATAATTCTTGACTCATGAAATATTTAAAAAAAAATTTTAAATATTTTTTTTTACTTTTTTAAAAATTCTTTTTCTGCTTTTTAATTTTTTTTTTTTTTAAATATTATTTTTTTTATTGATATTTAATTTTTACTTTTTCTCCTTAATTTTTCTTGCACGACGCATTAATTTTCGTTATATCATTAAATTAATTTAGTTTTTTCTCACCGCCCTATCTTGCTAACCTATCTTAATTACTTTTTTCACTTTACTTCCACTTTTCTCATTTGCTTATTGGTTATAATGTCCAAGGCACTTTTTCATAAACACACACACTTTTAAACTTCCTTTATTTCTGCAATATTTCTCAAATTATTTGTATTTTAATACCATTTATATTTTCTATTTTATTTGTGGTTTTCGAATTTTTTTTACATTTTCCATATATCAAAACAGAAAAAAGTACATTATTTTCCACACCAGACTTTGCACTGCTCGCCCCTCAGTGGTGTGTGCACTGTATCTGCAGCTTTCGGCACAACTCGCTGTTGCAGCGATACTGACGAGCCGTTCGCCGCATTTGACAAGGCTAAGCTCATTTTCAACGCTCCGCTGCTTGCTCTCCGCAAATTTGCTGCGTTGTCGTCCTTCGATTGTGTGCGCGCCCCTTCAACGTAGAGTAAAAAATCGCGCCTTTCAAGTTGTTATTAAATAGATGAGAGTGTTGTTGGTAGCGCTGAATCAATGCCAGCTCTTCGACGCGCACACTGTGACGTTTGCCTTACTTCAAACTAATTCAAGCTACATGAAGGGGGGGCTAGTCAAAGCAAGATTATGTGCACGTGGCACAAATATAATAAATAATATATGTCAGTAGAAAAGAAAGCGAAAATAGCGCTAGAAAGAGCATTAAGATAAATGTGAAAAAACAGAGGGAGAGAGAGAGAGAGAGAGGAAGAGAGATAAAGGCTTATGTGCTCCAAAGCAACAAACAAATAATAATGCCTTCTCGCCGTATTCGTTTTTTAGACTCACAAAAACACACACATGCATACATACATTATAAAAATTATATATATAAATATATATACGCCAATAATATATGTACATATTTATGAGCTATCAGGACAGATATAATTCGTAGCTCACCTACAGGGCGTATGTGTAACTTTCTTCTGTTTGTTTACCACGCATCAGCTGTTCGAAAAGAAGCTTTCAACTCACACCGGTTAGCAGCTGGCAGAGCTTATAGTTTACTTCATATGAACGCTTTTTGCCATGGCTGTGTACTGTGCGGTTGTCCGCTCTTGCGATATGCTTATTTCCTACTGTGGTTCTCTGCAGCTCTCTGTCACTTTATTGCTATTATTTTACCTTCCTATTTTCTCTTCTCTGTTTTTTTTCGCTCAATTATTAATCCACTTTCTTTTTGCTCACTTAATTTATTAAATACTCATAAAAGTATATATTTGTGTGTGTGTGTATGTGTGTGTGTGTGTGTGTGTGTGTGTTTATGTGTGTGTTGTCTTGCCGCCTTTGTTCGTACATTCTTAAGCATGTATTTTCTTTGTTTTGTTTACTTATTTTCTTTTTCAAAAGCCGGAAGCAACAAATGTGCATGTATTTTCTTTGCAATAATTTTTATTTTTTCAATTTTCTCTTTTGATATTTGTGGCAAATGCGGCGAATTCCCATTTATTCGCTGCAATAATTACAGAAATAATTGCTCTAATTATAATTTTTAAAATAAATTTTCTTAAATACTAACAGACTGGGTCACTCGTTGTTGTTTGTGTTTTGTTTGGTTTGGATGTTAAATTTGGTATTTTAACATAAGGTATTTGGTAAAAGAATATGAAATTCCACTAATACAACAAATTACATTTATTATTATGTCAGTGATCGTTCTACATATTTGTATGTATGTGCATGGGGTGTAGTCAAGGTTCTAGGTATGCAGTTACAGTCGAGGGGCTGCACTCTGGGAATTTGAGAAACCCTTGTTGAGCCTTGCATCAAATCTAAATGAGAAAGCTTCAGTGGAGCCACTCCGTCTTATTCGATTTAAGGCTTCCTTGAAGTCTAAATGCAGCGGCTGTTCACCACAGGCGCGACTGTGAGTATATACCTGACTTGGTGGGGTAAACCTGACCACCAGTGATACGGACTATGATGCACCTGAAGCCAATTCTAACACTTTTGAGTCACCAATGGAAGAATTCCGGCCAGTGGGACTACGAATTCTGAGACGAGGTTTTAGAGACAGACCAAAAATATAAGGACTGGGGTGCAGATACCAACAACAGCTGATGAGGCAATGCTAGGCAAAATGGCAAATGTGTGGAAAATCGCAATTCAAGAGGAGTACAAAGCGCTTATTAGTAGTCGGTTGACCGCAAAATCAGAAAGCAATAGGCTGCAAGTGGGTATTTTCGTTGAAGAGAAATGAAAGCGGAGAAATTGAGCGTTTCACAGCGCGATTGGTTGCGAAGGGCTTCAATCAAAAGTTTAGAGTAAACTGCACTGAAACGTGCTCACCTGTTGTACGGTATGCAACAATCAGAATGGACTTAGCATTGGCAGCAGAATATCAGCTTCATGTTCATCAACTAGATGTATCGAGAGTTTATCTTAACGGAGACTGGAAAATGTGTAGATGCTGGAACTTGAGAAGTTTAAAGGCGGTATGGGAAGAGTACTTTAAATGAAAGAATCACTCTATGAACTCAAACAATCAGGACGTATATGGAATACAAAATTCGACACAGTGCTAAAGAGAATGGGTTACAAAGCATGTGAGAGCGAGCCATGTCTATGTCGACTAACTGCTCATAGCTTGTTCGAACATTGATCTCGGATGAAACCACTGCAAACGTACTTAGGTTTACGGTTTGACGGTATGCACCTAAAATATCCAGTCCCTTAATTGGAAAGGTGTCGTTGCCCAGCTAAACGTCACCGCACTCCAAGAAGTCGGATTCGTGGCGGGAGTGCTACTCCTTCGTCGACTACTGGCATACACACTGGAGGAGGATCGTCTTGCCATTATACGCATCAAATCGATTTGACCAAGGATGCCTTTCATAAGCGCCTGGAGTTTACTCAAGAGAGTAGCCGGCGCCAAGATGTGAAAATCGTGCTTGGTGACTTTAACGCCAGAATGGGTTGAGGCTGAACGACTTAGCCGGGGCCCGAAATAAGTATGTCGCAATCCAACAAAAACATTGATCATGCTACTTGGCTGTCCACTGACCGACTATAAAATTTGAAAGGCTTGCATTGTAATAGTTCAAAACCAGCAATAATTTTTATGAAAAATACTAAGGGAAGTTTTATGTCGAAGAACGGTATTTCATTATCAATAGTTTTATAATTACCGAAGTATGTAAAAGAGTTTAAACATAATTCTTTGTGGCTAGCCACTCTATCATTTGATGTCATGTAAAATGAATGACCAAATTATGTGAAAAAAATACAAATACAAACTTCTAAGCGAATATTCTTTATTTGCCAAAACACTTTTGGAAAATGGTCCCTTGATTTCTTGATCTTATAAAAAGAACACATGTACAAAAGTTCATCGAAATCCCTATATCAATTTTCGACACAGATCGCCGTTGCTCTATTTAAAAGTAACCCATTACTTTTACACTAAACTGAAGGATTTATTTGCTATAGTCAGAATTCTCCGGTTTTTGTCAAATATGCACCGGTTTGTCATTTTAAAGGTAATTTCATTATATATTCATAAGAAAACCTGTTCCTATTGGCAAAAAATAAGGAAAACAATATTCAAGGCTTCAGAAGCTAATCACTTGGGGCTAGATCCGGACTATAAGTTGGATGCATAATAACCTCTTAATCAAACTCTCGAAGCTTCTGGCGAGTCAATATCGATTTGTTTGATTTAACGTTGTCCTGGTGAAACACAACTCCCCTTCCGAAGGCCAAAGCTAGACGTTGCTGGGCGATTGCTTCCTTCAGACGGTCAAGTTCCTCACAATTAAGGCCCGAATTAAGAAGTTGGTCATAGGGGAGCAGCTGATAAATGATAATTCCTTACCAAGCCTGCCAAACACACAACAAAGTCTTCCTGGCCATCAATCTTTGCTTAAAGATAGTTTGTTTCGGCTCACTGCCATTCGACCACGACCGTTTTTATTTGACGTTGCTGACGATGTAATCCAGTTTTCATTACCAGCTTCGAAAATAGGCCGATTTTTTTACGATTCAACAACTCTTCGCAAATGGAAATTCGTTACACGAAGTTTTTTTCGTTAACTCAGGTGGCTTCTTTATGTATTCAACCTCTTTCAGGTTATTCCAACCTATTTTTGCGCAATGCTTTTGTTCTGTACAATCGACCCAATGCTCGTGTGACGATTTCCATTATTTTAAATACATTTTCAACGATTAGCCCTCCACACGGTGGAGTATTTTTTAAATTAATATTAAACCAAAAGTGGTGCATGACTGACGGTTTCATAATCAGTACCATAAACACTTCAGCTATCTGACTTGCGTTTTAGCCTTTATCGAAGAATAGTTTTAGAATAATAGGTATTTTCTCTTTGCTGGTGTCCATCTACGACAAGCGTTTAAACGCTACTGAACTACGTCAATAGCTCATTCCTACATAGTTAATTTAACTTTTAAATCCCCTGAAGACCTGCTAGATACTCTAGGACCCTCTCAATGTGTTCATGCAGAACTAGCTTTGAAATATACTATCCTTTTCGATGTTTGTACATACAACGACGATTTTACTATTTACTCAGCCAACTTTGATTTCTGGGACTCTTTTTTTGTATCGCAACCTACTTACGTTTTAAATAATTAAGTAAATTTAATTCTCCTTTTGCTGGTGAGCAATTCTGTAGCTGAATAGTGTAAGAGGAAAGTGCAATCGCGAACTCCGCGACCAGTCTCGGGTTCAGGGCAGTGCGAATTATTACTGGCTTTCTTTCAACGAGGTGTTGGATATTGCGAATATTTTTCAGTTGCGCACCTCGGTGGGTGGGTAACGTTGGGTTCGTCACCAAAAAAAAAATAAGGGATCAACACTTCTCCTGTCATCTTTTTTAGTACAAAAAATCATCTTTCTAATGTCATCTAGCGTTATCCCATTGCACTTATAGGATGAGCGATACAGCACACTAAAACCATCTATTTAAAAAATAAATCTAATTCTGAATTTTTCTATTAAAATAATAAGATTATAGTACTCACACTTTTTTATGTCAATTTCATATCAATATTTCTATAATTTCTTTTAATGAATAATTATTATTTTTTACACCACAATCGATTGACTATGAGATATAGTGCTGATTACTCACCTTCATTGCATGCACGCATTATGCAAATAGAAGCCACCTGTTGTATTGAATTGTTGTTTACAAATCTTCCATCAGCATTTGATATTTTGTATTTCATTAAGTGGAAAGACCCTGACATATATAATTGAAAGCTTAATAAAGCTTTCCACTATACTTTGAGTAGGTTTTCTTTTATAGTAGCCACGTCTACAGGTAGATGTAATTGTAAATAAATAAATCAATGCAATAAATACCAAATGTGATTTTCATTTTCAATTTGTTGATTTACTTCTAATATGAAAAATGGCTGATGATTTGTTAACTTTCCTCAAATTTTACTAATCAATATTAAAATGTTTTTATTTTTTAACATTCTTCAAATGATATTTGTATTTCGAATAAACTTTCGAAAATAAACAAAAACAAACCACAAAATTTGCTGTCTATGGCATTCCAAGCCAAAATACAAGAATTCTATTGTTTGTTTTATTAACTTTTTGTTGGTGTGTTTCATTTTGGCCAGATTTGTTGGCGCCGCGCTGTTATTATTTTGCTGTCTTACATACATACATATACCAGCGATATGCAGGTCATTTTGGTAGAGAGCTCAATAAACTTTTACGCAGAACTGGAAACTCGCAAACGTGGCTGCCAAGAAGTGCAAAGTGCCAAAAAATAAACATAAAATTTCGATTCTTCTCGACAGTTGAGTGAACGTTATGCAGTTTAAAGATAAGTTATTAAATTAAATAGAAGAAATAATATTTGTACCAAAATCATGTCTACATAAAGGTACGTGTTATTCACCATAGTTGCACTTGGGTGGACTATTCTTCAATCACTCTAAACGTAAATGAACTCTAGAGTTATAACAACCAAGGCGTTTCGAGCTAGTAGCTAGGTCCGGCTCACTGACTACTTGTTAAGATCACTAAATCGGGTCCGAACACATAAATTAGTGTTCATACTATACATACGAGGGGATTAACATAAGTTCGGTAGATTACCAGAAAAAAAATACAAATTCTTTTGGTCTTTTTTTTCACCTTCTTTGTATAACCGCCGTTGATTTCAATGCATTTCTTATTCCACTTCTGAAAACTGTCTTCAAAATCTTGATTTTTGAGCTTACCAAGCTCTGCATCACTGCTGTTAAAGATATTTTCTTTTTATTTTTTTTTTTTTTTTTTTTTGAAACAACTAGAAATCACGCGGTGCTTTACTGGGGGAATATGGTGCTGGGCGTATTTCTTCGATTCAGAGAACGCAATAAAATTACTCGTTTTTTCAGCTGTATGGGATTACTTTCTGTCATGATGTAAAAAGTAGTGCCGCCTTTCCACTGATTTTCCAGTTTTTAAAAACTCTTGGTAAACACTGGCTCTGACTCTTTTCCAGTGGAACAGCAGCTACGATTTTAGATCGGGTGAAATAAACTGACATCATTATTTTTGCTGTTTAGATTTTAAGGGTGGACTTGCTCCTGTTTGGCTTCAAACCATGGACTGTTGTTTGGTTTCTGGATCGTACTTATAGCACCAAGATTCATCGCCAGTTAGTTATTAGAGTTAATAGACTAAATATTTTCAAATTTGTTTTGGAGAAATTGGGCAAAATGCACTCGAGCCCGTTTTTGGACCTCATTTAAAATTCGTGGTTTCTTCGTGTACCCCAAATGATTATTTAATATTCGCGATACATCCATGGCATTCAAGCCCTAGAAATAGAAATAGTGTTTAAAGACGATGAAATCATTTCATATGCAACTTGGCATTCACTGAATATTTGTACTGGCTATAAATTGCGCCGAAACCTGAAGAGAATCACATGGGGAATTTCATTTTTTTTACGAGGAGCCTTTATTTCATGTCCGAAATACACTCGGAAATATACTTGACATTCCCTGACGAGGAGCGACTGCAATTAGAAAATTTAACTTAATTTTTTATTTAAATTAATTTTCCATAACTATTGGATGTGGATGGCACCGGGATTTGAGTCCGAGCCTTCCGTATGTCAGTACGCAATGCTAACCACTCGGCTACCGCGGTTCCAACATAGATGCCGATATCTATGACTCCCAAGTTTCTGACTGTCAACAGTGATGCGAGAGTTAGGACAACGGTTACGTTATCCGAGTAGGAGAAGAGCACTCCAGCTTCGAAAGTATTCGATGCATTACCCGCCGGCGGAGGCAGAGGAAAAGGATTCCTTTGGAAAGATCAGTTAGAGAAGGACGTGGCTACACTCGATATCTCTTATTGGAGCAAATGTCGAACAATTGACGTCTAGTTATAATATATCGGCTAAAAACGCATCAGTCAAGGGAGACAAGACGTCAATAGAGAAAAAGAAAATTGTTCCTCTCCCAGACGACGAAACAGAATCAAACATACGATCGCAGTTGATGACGAACCCGACGTCGACTACAATAGGACGGATGTACGCACCGGCTGTAGGCTCTATCTTTTTTTTTTTTTGTTTTTGAGCAACGAACAGTGACCATTTGGTTGACAAAACACTCAGAGCATATTTTTAATTTTCCGGCTACTACAAATGCTCTTCCTCGCTGACGACAATACCAACGACAACTATTCTAAGCAATAACAACAACAATTGAATGATAGAAAAATTCTAAGTTGATGTTTTTTGGGGAAAATCTTCCGACTACCGAATGCAAATTCAGTGCCGATTCAATTTGTAGTGAGTGGAAGATCGACGATCGAGGCGTTCAACGAGAATTTTAAAAACTAGAAATCGACCAGCCGCCGAGTAGACGGAAGCAGACGACAGACAATTGCCGCAGTGCTTGATTGCTTGCTTGCTTGCCAGTGGAACGCGCGCGTTATGTAACAAAACGTTTGACATTATTTTGCCAATTTGGCTGCTAGAATAAATGCAACTGTGCCGATTTTTAATTAACGAAAATAACTGTAAATTGTATTGCAAAGTGTTGATACGAAAATAACGGTGTTGTAATTGAAAGTAATACAAAAATAAAGCAAGGCGTTCATTTAAATGTAATAAATGTGAGAAAAATCGTGTCAAAACTAAAAAAAAAGTGTGTGAAAAAGTTTATTTTTGGAAAATGTTGACACACGCACCACAGCGGCTTACATACGTACATACACCCATACATACATAACCAGATACACACACGAACGCGTATTAGGCTCGTACATATATGTGGTTTTATGTGCATGAGCTTGTCAATCACGATTTCAACACGTTTTGGAACACTTCACAAACACAAACACACACGTTGCATATATTATATGTGTTTAGGAGTGCATTGCAGTGGTGAAACTTCCAAGTGAACTTAATAAATTTTGCATTTTGTATGCAATCGATTGTGTTGGAATAGCGCAAAAACTTCATGCAACGTATACGAAATCGTGAAATTTTTTCATAAAAATAGCACAGAAAATTTTCAAAAATAACACAGAGCAGCACCTCCCTGGGCCTGGTTGGTTTGGTTGGCTGTTTGTGTCGAACGCTTGGCTGCTGGCTAACTTGCACATCTTGTTCATATTTTGGGAATTAGTGTGGCAAATAAACAGACACACAACAATATATATATATATATATATATTTATATATGTATATATAAACGCATATACGCATACATAAACAAACAAACATCGAAGCCCACACCACCACATTGGAACGAACTGTCAACGAAATTTTTTTGTGTTTTCATTATAGAGTGTATTTACTTTCGTATGTGTGTGTGAGTGTGTTTCTTGATTAAAACGTGACAATTACAACCATAAATTGCATTTTTCGGCAAGGAAGTAACAAAAGAAAAAATTAAGACTGCAGAAAGAAAGCAGACCAAATACCGGGTAAGTGGTCACCGGGTGTTTTTGAAATACAAAATATTGAGCAATATTTCGCATTTGTATGTATGCGTTTATCTCCATTTTAAAATTGGTGATCCAAATAAATTAGAAATACACTTTTTCTTCCTCTGCAGTTGTTAATTGATTTCCTTAGCCTACAAAATACGTAAGTATAATATTTGTCATTGATTGGCGATTCGCCGAAATCTACCTCCCACGTTAAATAGAAAAGTGTGTACATAAAAATAATTGTAAAAAAAATTTAAAACAAAATTTTCAGAATTCTCTAAAAATCTAGTGCGCAGGTTGGTTGCTTGAGAGATAACTATTGTTTGATGTACGGGTCTGAATATATAATATGTAAATACTTATCACTCATTAACTCCAAAAAACTTAAAAAAAAAAATTTTGGTTTAAATAATATTTTATGTGAAAAAAATTAAGAGCTCTCCCAAAAAATTATAGATATTATATTATTTAAAACATTTCGTTTCTGTTGTAAATAAACTATAAACGAGTATGTATGATGATAAGGCAGTTATTTTCAAATAATATTCGCCAAAAAAAAGTTAAATTATATTATAAGCGCAGTTTTGGAGAAAAATTGAATTTAAAAATATTTTTTTTTACTTATGTATTCATTATTTATATAATTTAGTTATTGTTGTACATGTTTATATATTTATTTATTTATTTAATTAATAACTTCTTTATAAACTTGTCTATTTATATATTTATTTATTTGTTGATTTAGTTATTTATGCATTCAAATATTTAAACTTTTCAGAGGTTACAAAACGTAACATATGTATATATTATATATGTACATGTATATATGTATTTATTTATTTATTTATATATTTACCTTTTTATTTTTATATTTAATTATGTGCTTATTTAATTTACAGTAATTAATTAATTTATTTTTCAATTTATTCATTTATTTATTTATTTATTATTTATTTATTACCTGTTTATTTATTTATTTATTTATTTATGCAATTATACATTTATTTGCTTCAGCGGTTACAAAACATTGATAATATATATATTATTTCCTTGTTTGTTTATTCTATATTTATATATTACTTTATTTTCTTACTTATAAATTTATTTATATATATTATGACTATTTACTTAGTTCATTTATTTATTTATATATATATATATATATTTTTCTAATTATTTGTAAGTTTCCTTATGTATCAAGTTTTTTATTTATTTATTTACTTATTTGTTTATTTTTATGTTTATCTATTTTAACTTTACTTGATTTATTTATGTAGTTTTTATTTAATTTATATATTTATTTCTAATTTATTTCTTATTCCTTTTTTTATTTTTACTTTATTTATTTATTTTTTATTTATTTATTTACTTATATATTTTTTATTTATTTATTTGTTTATACATTTATTTATTCATAGTTTGACTAATTAATCAATTCATTTATTAATTTATTTTTATACCTATTCATTATTTGTTTTTATTATATACTTGTTTATTTACTTACATACTTATTTACTTACTTACTTATTTATTTAATTATTTATTAATATTTTTATTTAATGATTTATTTAGTTATATTATTATTATTTAGTATATTACTTAATTTATTTAATTTTTTATTAATTTAGATATTTCCTTATTTATTTATTTAATTATTTGTTTATTTTAAAGTTTATTTATTTTAACTTTATTGATATAAGTAGTTTTTAACTGATTTATACACTTATTCTTATTTACGTATTTAGTATTTATTTATTTATTTATTTATTTATTTATTTATATTTTGACTAATTATTTTTTATTTATATCTATTTATTTTGCTATTTATTTACATATTTCTTTTTTTATTTATTTTTTTTTTAATATTTTATGTATTTATATTAATTATTTTATTTCTTTATTTCTTTATTTACTTATTTATTTATTTACTTATTTATTTATTTATAAGTTTGTTTATTTTGTAGTTTTTATGTAATTTACATATTTGTTTCTTATTTATTACTCTATTTATTTATATTTATTTTTTAATTATATATTTGTTTATCTTTTCATTATTATTAATATTTACTTATTGCCTTTTTTAATTAGTTATTTATTTATTTATTTAATTTTCTCTTTATTTATATTTTTTATTATTTATTTATTGTTTACTCACTTATCTACATTTTTTTTTATTTATTTACTTATTTATATGTAAGCCTATTTATCTGTTTGTTCAGTTTTTATATTACATACATATTTTGTTATATATCTATTTATTTCGAGTATGTGTATTTGTATAATATATCGGCCCCGAAGAATATAGCGATCAATATTTCAGAAAATATAGATATTTAAGAAAAATACTTCGATAATACAAGGTCACGATCGTTTGCGATATACAAATTTTCAAAATAAAGAAAAATTATTTGCTCAGTACTTTGATAATTGAGCGCAACTAGTCCCTCATAATTTGAGATATTTTAACCAAACTGAAGGACTAGTTTGCTTATAAATAGAGGGAGAAATGTGTAAATCAACTCCGCTCGTCATTTTTATCCGATCATTCTGATACTTGCATACTTCGAACTAAGTCATTTAAGGAAGGTACACCCCTTTGTCGTAGATAAAACACTTTTTGAAATAAAAATTAAGACTTTCTATAGCTTTGAAAATTACAATAACATAAATCACTTTTTCCTGCAAACAATTATTTTTATGTATGTACATTTTACTTAAAGACTTGTAGATTCTATAAATAACCGAATATACATATGTGTAATTATTCGATTATTTACGTTGAACCGAATATAAACCAAATACGAATAAAAATAAACCACTTTCAGACATACATACATGCAAACATAACTAAATATATGTGAGTAAGGCATATTTTAAGAGATCAGACGATTGATCAATTTTGTTGCTTAATTTACGTCACATCCATTTCGAATAAGTGGCATACCGCAAAACACATAAATGTAGAAAGAAAGATACGTATGATATGTACGTTCGAGTATGTTGTCTTGTTTTTCGTTCTTTTATATCCGAATTGAGGTGAGTGCTCGTTGTTTTTGGCAATTTTTTTATAGTGTTGCGGTAGTGAAGTTATGGTTTGGCCAAAAATATAAATTTGTATTAAAAACTAGCGAAACTATAATCAGATTCTATACGAAATGGCATTTATCATATTTTACCCAAGTTACAGACTAGTTAAATACTAGTTATAAAAGATTAATTTGCCTGCAGCGCAATTCGAATTCGGCTAACGTGGCTAAACGAAAAGTAATAGCAAATTGGGCACATTAGCATAGCGTAACAGAAATTAAAATTCACCAGTGGTGTGGTGAAAATATCACAATATGCCGATAGCATGGTGGAAATTAATGTTATTTCAACTATTTTGTTTCGGGTATAAATAACCAACTGTTATGATATCATTTTTCATTCATTTCCGCTCTCGTTATAAGTTTTCTATTAGTGAGATTAAAACCTATATTTTTTTATAAATTTACTTTTCTTCTTGTGGCTAGAACCGAACCAGTTATTTCTGAATAACACGGTGAGTGTTTTATAAATTGTGCTAGCCAACACCTCTTCTTCACTGGTGTGGGCATCGCTAATGCTATCATAGCCAATTGAAAAACACCAAGTGAAACCAGGTCGCTGTTCACCTGACCCTTTCAACGAAGTAGAAGTCTGCCTCTTCCTATGCTTCCGCCAGCGTGTACTGTATCGAATAATTTCAATGCTAAAGCGCCTTCATTCATTCGGATGGCATAACCTAGCCATTGTCACTGTCACTATCTCCTCATTCATCTTCTCTTGAACTATGGCAATATTACCATAAAACTTTCTCAGTTCATTATTCCATGTTCGATAGAGGACTTTACTTTTCAATTGCCTACTCAGTCCAAAGTGTCACCTGTTGGCAAGAGTGATTCTGCGCGGAATTTCTAGAACGATATTATTATTGGTGGCTCCTGGATAGAGGCAGTTATGAAGTTATGACTATCAACAGCGAGGTTTGATGGCAGGAGATATTTCGCCTTGTCCTCAATTCATGTTCAATACAAGATCCAAACGCTTTGCTTCTTTGTCAGGTTTGGAGAAGGCAGAACTAACGGTGGGGTTGTTAAGGCCTGTCATATCAATATCAGTCAACATTAGTCAAGTTGAATTTTTATTATTTATTTATACACATACATTACATTTATAATTGGCGCTTTGTAACCGCTGAAGCGATTTTCGTTCGAACTACTCCTCCAATTTGTGTGCGTCTTGTTTTTTTATTTTTCAATAAATGGACGGAGCTACAGTTTACACTAAGCTGCTTTCAAATGTCTGATGTTTTTTATGAGGAGCTTTTGTTTAATATCATTAATACACACGGAGGGGTTGACATTCCCTCTACTATAATTTTTTGATGTTAGTCTGACCAGGACTCGAATCATGGCCTGACGAATGGCAGAACGTAATGCTAACTACACGGTTATTGTGACCGAGTTAATTTATATTGAAAATAATATTTGTAATAAATATTTAGACATATAGTTTTCAAAAAGTAATAAAATCCATACAATTCAATGTTGTGGCCAACTACTTGTTATGGAGTTTTAATGTGATTATGAGAGAGAGAGACCGCCATGGCTAGCTAGAATAAATTCATGCCGAGAAACTTAATTCTCAACCACTTTCTTGGAGCAATAACGTGCCGAATATGCTTTTCCTAGGCGTCTATCCTGTCGGACTTATCTGCGTAGACAAGGGAGCCTCCACAAAAAATATTCCAGTGGTGTTAAGTCGCACGATCTTAAAGGCTACGTCACAGGACCACGATGTGATATAATGCGTTCAACGAAAGTTTCCTTTAATAAATTTATTGTTTAGTTATCTTTGGGGCACGTAGCCCTGTTTGTTTGGAAACAAAGATTATCCACATCAACATCTTTCGATTTAGGCACGCTAGATAGTCATCAACATCATGGCTTGTTAACGTTCTCCTTTAACTGTAACATTATTATCGGCTTTATATTTGAAGAAATATGGACCATTAACTCCAATTAAAGACTCTGTGAAGATGTAAAGGAGTCTCAACAATAAACTGCATTGTATTTAGCTAAACCCGATTATTCCACCCTTCTAGCCGAGATATCAGACCAAGATCATATCTTGTAGAAAAATATACCCATTATGAAGTGATTTTGAAATGCGGCAGATAGCCTCATTCAGTTGCCAAAAATCGAAAAAAGCATGGTCTACAATTTCGACTTTTTTAATTATTTTTGGAAAGGTGAAGAATTCGATCAAATTTTATCCGCTAAAAAAAAAACATTTATATTCTGCTAAAAGGCTACAGAAAGAAGTTTGAACAATTTGTGCAAAAATATCTTCCTGAGCGTATTTCGGCATAAGAACTTCGCTGAAAAAATTTCAAAATTGCATATTTTGAAACAAAACGCCGATTTGAATAGTTATAACTATGAACTTTCTTTCATCTCTTAAAACTTAAAAAACCAAAACCTACTATTTCTTTGCACTTTTTGTAAGATGAACTTTTTTGCAAACTAATAAAAGCACAATTTCCGAATACAAAATACATCGCCCTCATAGAAAATTTAATGTTTCCTACATTTCGTACGTAGAGCTTGCTAATATGCGGAGGATCATGCATGCTATTCCTGTCTAAACCGATAACCAAATTATGGAAACAAATTCCTCTAATTGTGCCCGCCCACGCCAATCCATCCGAATGTAATTTTAACAAAACACATTACATGAAATCTTCCTAACTATTAGAATATAGCGTATAGAGGCGGGCGCAATAGCGTCGGAAGACCAGAGTTAGAGTTCTGGCTCGACCAGTAAACAAAATAATAAGAAATTTGTCTTTTTAGATTTCTAAAGAAAATCCATCGTTCGTTCGGAGGCGGCTTAGTATTGGAAAGACATCAATAGAGGTACCACAAGTTAGAAAAGAGCTCGGCCAAAACTCGCTTCAGTGGTTATAAAACACCGATACCGCGGCTCAACTTCTGCACACATGCAAAGCGTAAACGCAGATGATGAAATATTTCCTGAAACTTGATGGATAGCAAACAATACAAACTCGCACTGATACCGCAGAGTGGAAGCTTAATGCAAAAAAATCTATCCTGGCCGAATCCTGTTTTATCTCGTCTTTACATAATCACAAACTATTTAAAAAAAAGTTAAATGCGATATGCTCTCTGAGGTAATACAGATCAGCGTCGTTCGGCTTTTAGAAGGAACTGTGAAAATATATTATATAGCTCGCAGATATCTTAATACAATTAAAAAAAAAACAAGTTTTTTTTTGTCTTCAAACCGAATATAAAAGTATATTTTAAATAAAGTTGTTCAATTATTTTTTAATTACCATAGCTCAACAACTCTGTTCTCTTGACTGCTTTCAATTTTAAAATATAAATTTTTCTTGGTATTTCGATTGATGCGTAAAAATCTACGCTATTATGTTTTCTTTAGTTGTTTTACTGATTTTTGAGACAAATCACCTTTTATATTCAACAACAAAGCGTTTAATATCCTCTTTTAGTACAGTACATTTAATGTTTTCCTTCAAAATAACTTAAAATAAAATAATAAAGTAAAGAAATATTTAAAACGAAATTATGTCAGCTCAATAAAAAATGTTGTTAATATAAATCTCATATTTATGAGCACATTTGAATAAGATTTCGTTGAGCCATGTAAACAAAAATACTAGTCGTTAACTAGAATCCTTCTAGTTTGTATTTGTACACTTACTAGTTCGTCTTGTATCATTTTCCATGTTGGCGGTTCATATTTTTTAACACCACGATGTCGTACGAAATGTCATTGGTCCGATTATGCATTGGCTTCAGACTAATTAATTACTAGTTCATTTATGTATGCTGAATTGGCCGTACGAAATGTCATTGGTCCGATTATGCATTGGCTTCAGACTAATTAATTACTAGTTCATTTATGTATGCTGAATTAGCCGTTCGTATTTTTTAACACCACGATATCGTACGAAATGTCATTGGTCCGATTATGCTGAATTCTCTGAAATAAAAATAATGAAAAAAATTACTTACAAATTCGAACTCAATGACAACCATTGACCGTTTATCTATCGTTACTATATGAAAAGTTGCGTCATAATGATCATAATGAATGAGGTATATTTAGTTGTAAATAATATAATAAAGGTTTTGCAGTAATAAATAGTCCTTATAACTCCTATGAATACCCCGCTATATGGTCCGGCGGATTAAGCTATCGATAGATGACTAATGAATTTGTTATGGCCGTACTTGGATTGGCTTTATTTATATAACGAATTTTTAAGGAAAAAGTTTCCGGACCGTGTTGTCCTTCGAAGAGGTGACAGCAATTTGCTACGGAAATTTCGTGGTTTAACACCTTGCGACTTCTTTCTTTGGCTCCACGTAAAATACAAGGTCTACGCCATCAAGCCAACGTCCATTCAAGACCTCAAAGATGGATTACGTGGTGGACATTATGCGATTGGATGATAGAAAATTAAAAAAAAAAGATATGGCATATCTTCCTCTTAAAATTATATCACAAAATGCCTTGTAATATCAAAAAAAAAACACCTCTTATTGGAAAACCCTGTAGTTAGAGAGTACTGTGTTCCATTTTAGATTGACTGAAAGAATTGAGGAGAAAAGATTAGGAAACTTGACGAAAGGTGTACAGCTTTCGTACATGGTAGTGTTGGTTGCCCTGAAAAAGGTGTGCTTCAATATTTTAAATTTCCCACTCTACATTACAGAACTGCCCACGAGTGATTATTAGCTGTTTTTAAAAATTAATATTAAATTCTGAGATTTAAAAAATTTATCACTGCTGATGAAGTCAAGAATGCAGTTTCGTCGTATTTTTAAGATAAAGAGAAAGCATTTTTTTTTTTTGAGAATATGAATAAATTAATATATATATAGATATATTTACATATATTTTAATCCGCCATGCGGAAGGAAAAATAATTTTTTTTTTTGAATATTTGTACCCTTAAAAAATGACTGCAGTGATATGAAAAAGCGGTAAACTTCATAAAGACCAAATGTTGCATTAAATTTGTATCCAAAATTTTTACGATTAAATACTAAAATTATTTTCAAGCTACTTAAAGGCAACAAAGTACATGCATACATATATACATGCTAATGTGTATGCCAAAAATGTATGCTGCTCTGCACCCTATTGCACTACTTTCCTCACACATTTACATACATAAATACATTTGAAATGAGTGCGTATGTATGTTGGCTAAATTTACTCATAAAATTGTTTTCATATCTATTTTCAGATTCGTTTTGACTTGACAAAATATGGCGACGCATACAAATATTAACACTTTTTCAACCAAATTAAATCGTAATGTCTTGACTATGCCAAAATGGGTGGTGCGTATTATTTCGAAAATTTATAAATTTTTGAAAATTTCACAAAATTTTATACAAAAAATTCAACACTTACTTACTAATGTACTTCATGAATAGACGGAGACACATGATCGCGTTGGACCGAAACCGCCACCACCACCATCCCCATCGACGCCGGATAGCGCTGCGAAGGCGCCAATTCTACCACCAAAAACGAAGAATCTACCCGAACCCGATTATGAAGTCATCGAATTTTCGGGTCAGCAATATTCGAATGAAGTTCTAAAATCGGGCAGTCGATCTAAAACGCCGAGCACACCAGGTAAAACGAATCATCGACTGTCTTGTGTATTTTTTATTTTTATTTGATTCATATTTTAAAACATTGACCAGATGCTAAGCTCAAATGCACACTTTGTGGCTCGCACAATCCCTGGGTAACGTGTGAGGAATGCGCGCAGCAGATCTTTTGCGCCTCGTGCGATGACATGTTTCACAAGCATCCCAAGCGACGTACGCATGTTCGGAAGGTAAGTGTATTATTGGATCTAGTCTTATGAGTGCATAGCACATAGAAGGTAACAGTAAACTATAGCGAAATCGGACTTAGCGTACAATGTGACCGAGAAGCAAAAAGTTACTGCAGGGTGAATACCACTTACTCCTACCGGAGCAGGCCGGCCTTTGGCTGTCATCACTTTCAAAAAAGCCTCAAGCTCCGACTTAATGGAAATGGTAAAGCAAGCAAGCGAATTATATATTAACCCGGGTACACCATGAGTCTACTGAAAGGTTTAAGTACGGTTGCACGCTGCCCCTGGTCCTCATGTTCCCCTCTCAACTGACCAACCGACCAAGTCTACTTCACCAAGTCTGTTGGAAATCCTTTGAGTTAACTAAGTGTGTATATTAAAGTATTATTTCCTATCAGTAGAAGTCGGAGGTACGAATCGGCTCAGATTATGTATTGGTAAAAGTCACTAATAATCTAAGGCACCCGTAGGACTGTTTTTACAAAAGATATAAGGCTTTGAGTCAACTGAAAGAGAGGAAACTTCAGGGAAGACAATGCCAGATTATCTTTTTACCAGAAGTGCGCTGTAAATAAAAAATTTATTTGTTAGTCTACAAAACCAACTCCTCGTCGGTCCGAAATTCATAAGCAAATGCTCAGAGAACACTGCTCCAGCTTACTGTTTGCATGGAACGACTGAAGGTCTCGTAAATCTTTAAATTAATTCAGTTGTAAAGTAACTTCTCGATAAAGTTTCTAGTTCTCCGAACAGAAATTGGACCTAAGGCCGATGAAAATAAAACGAGAATAGTTCAGTGTAGCAAAAATGAAGGAAAAGGTATGAAAACAATAAAAATAAGAAAAGAGGGGAAAGCCAAATCTATCTCTCTTGAACCAAACAGAAATCAGAGAGGTCGTTAGAATAGGAAGGAGAGGCTGACCAAGGTTAATAAAGAACCAAGAGTGCTGAAGGTAAGACGAAATGTGCAAAAGTTTTCCAATAAGAGATGTTATTTTGATATTCAAAGTTAAGGGGTTACATAGGTATTGAAGGCAAACTTTTTTTAAAAGATACTAAATAAAGTTTTCAATTTATTTCTTTTACAAATAAAAGCACAATATGTGGAAAACAATTGATAAGAATTTGAATGAAAAATAGTATAAGTTAAGGCGTTGGCAGTGTCTTGAAGTAGGCTGTCCACAAGAAAGTGCTTTCGCGGTAGTCATAATAACTTTTTCAATATTTATCTGAAATCAAAAATCCAATTTTTTTCTTAAAGTATGTGAATTTTCCTTATCCCTGAATGAAGAAAAATTATTAATTATTACTTATTGAAAATTGAATTTTTTGTTTTTTACAAAAAACGTAATTTTCTGCATAAAATTAGGCCACATATTGGCTTGTTAAATGAGTTGAAATCAAAGATAAAATAAATCCTGCGTTCAGGGACTACGCACAAAAACATGCTTAAAAGAAGTACGGAAAATTTGAACTCGATCGCTTCAATAGTCATCGAGAAATTTTGACTATCGATTTTGATAAAGTGTTTTTGAAAAAAACGTGTTTAAAGTTTCGCCATCGGTCAAGCCAAGACAAAGACGGCGGGCTATAAAGCTCTCTAATTTCTACAATTTCGTCTCCATCGACTTGAAACTTGGGAAAAATATTGCTGATACTTCGCACATTTAAAAAAAAAAAAAATTATCAAAAAAAAAGAATTTTTTTAGATTTTAAGACCCACGCGTATGTAACCCCTTAAATGGCATTTTTAGAGATGAATCATCGAATATTTATTTCAATGCACAAAGGAAGATATGCCATTAACAATATCAGCTATCACTACAGGGCTATGTCCCTACAGCTACACGTTGAAGATGGGGAGGTTTTTTGAAATAAATCTTGAGTTTTCCTAGCCACAGGAGCGACAGTTTTGCTTTTTCACGTAGTCATGGTGGTGGAAATGGGTTTCAACACTCAATATGAATTTGGATCATTTTCATGTATTTCAAGGACCCAATCAGCGAAGTCCCAACATTGTTGTTGTTTGGCCGGCATGTCTTAACTGAACTTTATAAGCCTTAAGAAACAAGATTAAGGTACAAAATACGGCATACTGACGTGTGTGGTATGCAAAACTCTAAAGGACGACGAGAAATGGACAAATCTGCGTTTTCTTCAACACTTTGGGAAACAGCTGCAACATTCTAAGTTTTTCTTGAGCGACGTGCACGGGCTTTGTGCTCCACCACATTACTAGCTTAACCCAACACTCCATCTATTTTTACCAATTTTTTTATTGCGCCCCGACAAGGTGCCTCAAGAGGACCAAAACATTGTTGGTTTAGCGAACCGTCCCTGCTGGGTTTTCACTATTTTTATCGAGAATTTATATAATTTCAATGCGTTGTTGAAGCCTGTATCGTCCCATTTTTAATACTTGCCAAAAAAGTACAGTTTCAAAAGTGACATCTATAAAAAATGCCGGGTTGTTCGAAATAATACCTCTTTTTGGAAATCCCTCTGCATAAACTTTAACACTGTTATTGCCACCTACCAAGTTGATCGTCTGGCTGCTATTCGCTAAACTCGCTCGTTACGAACAAAGCACTCTTTATGAAGCTCTAAAGGCCCTGATCCAATGAAAACACGCTGTGCTGGGTTTCCTTCCATTTGTTTTACTTCTAATGTTTGTATGCCTAAATGAGTGCTTTAAATACTGTCAAAAGCAGTGAAAAACAGAACATAGATCTATTTGGACCTCCTCAGGGCTTTAAGTTCTTAAAGCAAAACTACATATGAACTGTTTTTCATATATTCTAGTATAATTCCATTCTATTTTGACAGTTCTCATAGCTTTGAGTCACGGCCTTAAGTGTGGAATATGTACTGCAGAATATTCATATCCATGCTCGAGCGGTGTTGTAGGAGTAGACTTCGTTACTAGTGCTAGTACTACTGCAAATCAATTAAATATTAAAAATTGTATCCCACAAAAATTAACAAATTCTCTCAACAATATATAAATTTTCATCTTCCCGCATAGGCTATTGAACAGACACGACCACCATTACCGCCGAAAATTCTACCCGGCCAAAATGGACCCACACCACCGGTAGCACCACCACGGCGCAAGGGACGCGGATTCACACCACTACTGTCGCGAAAGGAACAGGTACGCTTCTGCACGATTTCATAAGCGATTTACGATTTCGGTACCAAATCATTATAAGCCTTACATTGAAAAAAAAAAATTAAAAAAAAAAGATAATTATAATAATAGAAATCAAATACGCCTATCACGCTGTTTTAGTAAAAATTTCCAAAAGCCAAATGCTTTGAAATAATCCTGTTTGATATTACTGCCTTCAACTTTTGAACAAACAAAAATCTTTATCGCAATTTAGCGTACCTTAATGCTGCATTCTATAAACAATTTATTGTTATTTATACTTACTATGTCAATAGTGCTATTTTTACTTAATTTTTATTCGGTGCCAAAAACAAATGCAACCAACAAACACTAACACGATTGTGAAAATTTGCGTGAAAAACACGCATAGCAAAAAGTGTTTTCAATAAAAATTTTCAACTTCAATTTCGAACTCAAAACAAAGCTCAAATTATTCAATTTTTTACATCCCTTGATATATACTCGTACATATATACATTTACGTACGCACATCCGTGTGTAAGCTGAAATTTCGGAGTGAAAAACAGCCCACAACTCCACAACCAATTATCTTAAGTGTACCTCTTTGCACAATTTGCCACTCCTCAATTCAAATTTAGGTCAATATGAATACGCTGCCAATACCACCATCGCCGACGCCCTCAATGAAGAGCACAAGCTGGCAAGATCGCGTCAGTTCGCTTAAGAGTGGACTCAATCTGATGAATCGCCCTTTACCCGACACACCGAAGACACCCACAAGTGAGGCCACATCATCGCGTTCGGTGACACCCAAATCGGTTTTCGACAGCATACAACGTCCACCTTCGGTCACATTGGAGAAGATTAAGAGTAAGGCTAGCGCTACATTGGATCGTATGGCGCTATTACAACAACGTTATCGCCAGCACAAAGAAGACAGTCAGAAGGGCAATACAGATCGCAGCGGTTCCGTAACAGATCAGGTAATTGCATATAAAGCATAAACTCATAGAGTCACTCAACGCAGTGCTCATTGATACCTCATGAACACCGTCAAAGTCCACTTGTTCGTGATACATACTCGTGCTCGTAAACCTAATTCTTATGCTTGTTTTCGTTTCGTTTATGTTCGTACGTTCGTTCGTTCATTCGACTGTACATACATATGTTTCCAAATGTGTCACCAACGTCACTCTGCCACTCTGCCAATCTGACACCGTCACCGTTACCGTCACCGTCACTGACACAACCAAAACCTTGTCAAATACCAACCAAAATAGAACCTCTCATTCGATCAATGGTCAAACATCTCACCGTCGCCATCACATTTTCGCTCAGGCAGCATGTCGTCCGGGATCAATTCATCTCATTTTGACCTCACGGATGATTCACATTTTCACAATATGTTTAACCAACGGCAGATGCATGCGTCCGGTATACAACAGCAACGCTCTAATGGCCAATTTGGTACACGTGGCATGAGCACATCCGTTTTCAATTTGAATCACATAAATCGTCGTGCGCCGGAGCCGCAGACTAATTGGATGAATAATCCCATGCAGCAGGTGAGTAAGAACCAAAGAAACTTTACAAAAAAAAAAAGAAACCAAAATGACTAGAAGAACTTTCCGAAAAATGTCCAATGTTTAGAGGTATAAGAATTTGTGCCCACCACTCAGCTCCATTTTAGGAACCGATCCAAAAGCTAGGTGACAGTTCGAATATGAGCATTTACTGGAGTAAGCGCCAAACTCTGTCTAGGCGCTTCTGGATTCATTTAGTACGCTAAGAAAGAACAGAGTTGCTGATGGAGGAAGAGGAAAAGGCCGACTTTGTCTCAAAGCTGTCATGCTGTTAGAGAACAAAAAGTGCTCCAATCGTGCATCCAGTGGCAGTCGAACGTATGTGTTCAGTCAGATCTATCTGTAGAAGTTATTAAAAATCAGGCTTTATGTACGACACCGTCCGACAATTTTTTTTTGACAGAGAAAATTATACCGAGCTAGATTTTTAAAGTTAAAAATGGCGGATCCAATTTTGCGGACAAAATATTTCGCATTGATTATTCGGTTTTGACTATTCACATTAGTGGGCACAGAACCCTAGATCGGTCTATCCGTCCGTCTGGTTGTTAAACAAAGTCTGGGTTTTGTAATTTTTTTATCTGACCAATAACTTCCTTAGAGACAGACCCTTATTCTCAAGACAGCGCCCGAATCTTTCCCTGTAGTGTTAATATGTTTTCTATTATTGAGACTAAAAGGTAACTTTCTAACTAATTCCATTGCCTCTACACAGGCGCAATCCATGGCACACCTTAACTGCGCCAACTGCAGCAATCCACAAACGAATGCCTGGCAGGCGCACCAACAGCGTATGCCCGCACATGCACATGGTGGCGAGTGGGGTAATCAATTTTCCTCTCAACAACAAATGAATCGTTCGAATTTATCGCTCAACGTTGGCGCTGGTTACATGCTACCACATCACCAAGGTACTGGTGGTATGATGGCACCACCACCGGTATTCATGAACCAAACCGGCATGATGGCTGGCATGTATCCATATCCATACCATGCAGGTATGCCTGTCATGAATCCAGGTAAGGAATTGAAACATATTTTCGAACTTAACTAAATAACTAATTCCTCTGTCCTTTCGCAGGTCTCGTCGGTATGCCACCGCCAACACGCTCACGTGCCACCTCACGCGCTGGCTCTCGCGCCGAATCACCAGCGATGAGCCGCAAGTCCATGCCGGTACGAAGAAAACAACGCACCACCAGTTATGTGGAGGATGAGCTGACCGATGATGAAGACTCCGATCAGGATGACCGACGCTCGATTGTGTCCAATCGTTCGGGCATGAACAATACGTTACGTGCAAGACAACGACGTATGTCGAGCGCCTCACAGCTACTGGATGATGAGAGTGAAATGAATACACGACAGACGCGCACGAAAACGCGTGATGCGCGTGATCGACGTGGTTCCATTGCCAAATCGGTGCAAAGTGATTGGCTGCCAATCCGACGGCCCACAGTGAATCAGAGCAACAGTGGTAATAGACAAAATGAACCCGGTTTTATAAATCCACCCAGAACCAATCGCATTTATTCAGACTTGGATTCTGAGTCGTCTGGCACACGTGCACTGGTGCAAGCCAAAATACAAGAGAAACTGGACAAGTCCACGAAGCGTAGCAGTTCGAAAGAAAAAGCCGCGGAGGCTGCGCGTCACAAGCCTGTCAAAGTTTCCACAGAAGTACAAGCAGGCGGTAGTCGACCCATAATCAAGGCGACTACTGGCACAGAAACGAAAACCGTAGCAAAGCAAGCACACACCAAAGAGATATTAGCTGAAGAAAATAAAAAAGAAAATGCACAAACTGATGACGAGGTAGAGGATGTAGAGGAAGAGGAAGAAGAAGCTGAGGAGAGTGGTAGCGAAGAAACTGAAAGCGAAGAAGAAGAGGAAGTAGCAACTGGGCAAAATACACAACTAGTGGAGGAGAGTACAACACAAGTGCCCGTCACCGATGAACCCAATGAGGACGACCTTGGACCACCACCTTCAACACCCGATCACGAATGGGAGTGTGAGTTCTGTACATACGTTAACGAACCGAATGTAAAGATCTGTTTGATATGTTGCAAAACACCCAGTGGAAACGCACGTAAGACGTCAACTACTACCGCACCGAATCAAGCACCTACAAACGAAACGCAAACTGTCAATGCACACGTCAGAGCATCCATTAGTCCCGAAAAACCGGTCGTGCACAAAGAAGAAAAACGACATAGCAGCACGGAACGAACGAAAGACAAACCGAAAGACAAAGTTAAAGAGAAACCAAAAGACAAAACTAATAGTACAAGCACAAGCACAAGCACCGGCATCGGCCCCACCAGCACAATGAAACGAAAGACGGGCGTTACACAGAGTATCATTACAAATCTTACGAATGGAATGTCCAAACTTAAGATCACTTCGTCCGATGCGCAATCGGACACCTCAACACTGACAAAGAAGAAAGGTAGGAGCAAGAAAATCACATTTTTGGAAGGAACGAAAATCAATTAAATACTCGTACTGACGTAATTAGATACATAAATGGTCCACAAAATCTATAAGTGAACCCGAAATCATAGATTATATAACATATTAACCTTTGCATTTGTTAACTTGTTGTTCGGTATTATTTTCTGCAAACAAATTTTCAACTCTCTGTAATACTCACTAACTTTTTTTATAAAAAAAAAAACACAAATTTTTTCTAATAAATATATTTACTTTTGTTACGCTTACGATTATTGTTCCAACCTAAAATGTTGTTTTCTTCCAACTCATTGTCCTGTACGTACGCATGGCTGTTGAAACACACTCACGTTCCGTATATTTCGTCCGAACCCCGCTTAACTTTGACTACCTTATGTTAACTTACAGAAACGGTTGAGGATGTTTGGGCTGCCTTAGATGATAATATACAGACGACAGCTAACGAAGTAATGCGTAAGGCTGAAAAGTCCAAACAGCGCACAAAAGTCTCAACTAGTTGTGGTACTTCACCCATACGTGAAGTATCTAAGGTCAAAGACGCCCAGCAGATACAACGGAAAGTGAAAGAGACGGGCACATCACCGCCACCGCAGAGTGCTGCCACTCAAGTAGGCGATACGTCTATTTCTCTCTCTCTCTCTGTCTGTTTAGATTGCTCACAAAATATTCTGTTTTCGTTTAGACCTACGATACGGTACCACTGATACAGCCTGAAACAAGAGTCGCAGAAACACTGACATCCGGTGGAAGTAGTCTCTTCTATAACGAAAATTCACAGGTTTGTATCGAGGATTAAACAAGGAAGTTGTCATACAAAAAAAATAATATTAGTAAGTAGTAAGCAGGACCAAATACAAAGGAAAGGAAAATTGCAAGGAAAACAAATTTTCTTAGGCTGATCCAGAAATCCACTTGATTAAGCAATATTCCAATATGAAATTTATAATCTAGACTAGAAAACACAACCTCCTTCTGGACATCCGATAAGACTCAAAAATGATTTTAAATAAATTTAAAATAAATCATCTTTCGAATTAATACCAGAATGATCCTAAACTCCAAATGGCTCCAAGATAATGACGTTTGCTTCAGAATTAACTTTTAGCTCTGAAGTCAACTTTAAATGTCTCTAATAGTAGTAGTAGTTTGGAATTATCTAAAAACTACCATCAACTTATTTGTACATCCCAAATGGTTCTAAGCTATTTTTAGTTGGTTCGAAGTTGAGTAGTGATCTTGAGAAGAGAGTGAAAAACAATCTTGAAAAATCTTTACTTTAGTCGGCAATTAATTCTGAAATGACCCCAAACTATTCTGGCTGATTCGAAGTTAGTTAGAAGCATCTTATCTCAAAATATAAAATAATAATAAATTCAGTTTTGAAATAAATACGAAAAGTTACCGCAGTAGTAAGAAGCCGATCGCAAAATATGTCCTCAACTGAACTGAAACTTTCTTATGCATTTAGCAACAATTCTTAATGAGTGATCCACTACACCGATGTTCGAAAACAGCTCCAAAAGAGAGCTCCGTAAGAGATGAACCTTTTTAAAGCCTCACACCGTCTTATCCAGTCTTCAATGGTACTTCAACAAACTTGTAGTGTCTTTTACCCTATAATAACTTCTTGCGAAGCGCTAAATAAATGTCTTCCTTAACTTATGATATCAAGAAAAATTATGCAAAATACTCTTCCTAGTGACGACCTGAATTGTTGTCGAGACCGCAATTAAATTCTTGAGGTGAAGCGTTGCCGTAAGACTCTCATATTGTTAGCACAACCACAAAAGGTTTGATCCCTTGAGGGCGAGTTTTTGAGAAAACTCACTGGCAGAGAAAAAAGAATACTGCTATTCTCAGTACCTTCCAGTGTGGCTGTAAGTTAAGACTTAATTTTCTTAATATGACCTTACTTCTTTAGCTGTTAAAGTTGAGCCAAATCTCATCGTTCCGAACGGACGTGGTATTAATTCGAGTATTCGAGTTTTCTGTATCCTTCCGTAGTCAATTAATGTAGCTTTTCCTTGTCTAGTAATTTTGTTTGAAAGGTGCAAGCTGACTTAGGAAGGCGTATAGAGAGAGATATCTTTGGAGTATGCCCTCGAAACCACCAATTAGAAGTGGTGATATAGATTGATTCACCTAGAATTTTAATACGTTGAGTGGAAGTATCGAAAGAAATGGTAATTGGCTTATAATGTGAAAAGCTTCAACAAGAGTTATGGTTTAGGTATGTTTTTCTCGGCCAAAAAATTTGTTCTTCGCGAAACCTTTTCCATAATATTGGTCATTGTGGCAGAAAGTAGCCTTCATGTTAGCAACTCGAAATCGTCCGCAAATGCTTCACTCCTCCGCAATTGAGTTCAAGTAGTATTTCGTTCAGCGTCTCTACCCTTGAAAACTTCCTTGAATAGGCCTTCTGCATATGTAACATGTCTAAAAAGCTGATCATACTGCTTACCAGGATCGATCGTATCCATCGGTAAAGCTTCTATGTACCGGAAATACATCTCTATATACTATTTATGATGGAACGATTTTTCTGATTAATTATCACTTCATGAAGACCCATTTTTGTTGGGTAAAACCACCGGTAAAGTTCATCCTACTTGGAGTGAATTTAAGTTTAGTACTATCATTATGAAATAAGTGAGGTTTATGGCTCTAAATTCCCTAAAAAGCAATGTGTTCTTCTACCTAGAAAAAGTATTTGAAAGTTTTACACAGGTCTCCACAATTGAACCAACTGAGTTGAGGACCTTTGAAAAAAAATATATGGCCGAACCCTCCTAATTTATGATTCAATTAGAAATCTTGAAAAGAGTAACAAATGGAAGGATTTTAGTATAGCAACAAAATTTCGATACCCCGTTAATTTTTGCATAAATACAAGAAAACTACTTACAGCTTCATCGTGATGTACCCTCGCCGCTAAGCGTATACTCACCAGATTTGCCACATTATGAGCCAAGACACAAGGAACCCGAAACTGAACTCTACATCTTACTAAAGGTAACAATACCACTTTTTCTACTGTTATATCAATGGCTAATCATCTCACCATACACTACCAGGAAGCCGAACTGTATAAGTTCACACCCGAAGAACTACATGCTGCGCTGAAATACTGCGGTCCTTCGGTACACCCGATACAGTGGCTACGCGAAAACTGGCATAAACTTATACAAACTGTACAGAGTTTGTCGACGAAGTATGGTCAGGAGCGTGTGGAAAACATCATAGGCACAGTGTCGCAGACTGAAGCACGAGACGCCTTGCGACAACACGGCGGCAATATATGGCAAGCTGTATCGGAGTGCATTGAGCAGCGTCAGAGAAAGTATCGCGAAATCTCAAGTAAAGGCAATTACTCACGCGAAGATATCGTAACTGCGCTCACAATACATCAAGGCAACGCTGATTTGGCGCTATTGGACTTGGGGCGTACGCAACTGAAACCATTTTTAATGCGTATACGCGGCTCGCCGGCAGGTGTGGAGAATGAGAGTGGCGCGAATATTTTTGCAACAAACTCCGGCACTGAGCACACTATACAACCAGGTAAGTCTCACACTATGCGAAAGCACAGTCTACAGTCATCTTTCTATATTTACACACCAACAAATTTTTACGATTTTTATTTTATTTTATTTTATTTTTTCAATTCTCTTTTTTCTCTCGCGCAATCTTCCCCTCTATTGGCATTATAGAAATTCATGATTTCCTCAGTGCGAATGCTTTGGAATGTTTTCAAACACCAAATGTAACTGGTGCAACCGCTTTCATATCCGATCATGCATCGCTACTACACGAGCCATCAACTAACGAATATCTCACAACTACCATGCACGATGACAACTACCGTCATAGCCCTTATAGTAGAGAGACATCATTAAGTACATTTCATCTAGATGATTCCACATTTAATAACCGCAATATGTTAAAAGATCTTGAGACCCTTATTGGTAATATCGAACAAAATCAAGCGAAACAAAATGAGCCTATGCTCAAGACCATGGAAGCGATGTTGGGCGACAGCTTAGGCAAGCGTGAGTTGGACACTGAAAATGATCCTGAAATGATGAGAATTCTAATGAAGAGTCCAATAATGACATTGAATACTAAGCAGCGCACGCTATCCGACGTGAATAGTAGAAGTCAAAGTCAACTCGATGTGAAGAATTTCGTTTGGCAACACATACAGGAAATCGTGCCAAACTTAGTGCAACAAGTGGAGATGGAGTTGATGGAAGATGAAGCTATTGAGTCTACAGTAGAAAGAGAAACGGTGGTGGAGCAAAAAGTACAGCCACCCGAACCGCCACCCATCAATGCTGAAGAGTTTCTGTTGGAAGAAGTTATTGGGCCCAATATTAAAGAGGCTTCCATAAGAGAACTGGTGCCACCCGAATTCATTTACGCAGCTGAAATCGCCACTTTCCGCATGGAGTTCGATCGTGGGCTGGATAGAGAACATGAAGATGAATTTGAGTTTGATTCATTGGAAGAAGCGGAAAGGAGTGTGTATAAGCTTTATTTGGCGCCCGAAGAAGACAAAGCAGCAAATGATACTGAGTCACCAACACTTCAGTTGCAGCTACAAAGTGGAATAGAACTGAGTACAGACGAAATTCAAAGCGAAACTCAGGAGGCGGTATTGAATCAAACAGATACTGAAAGCACGTTCAAAGAGAATGATGTAGCAACTGAGCTAAAAACTATACAGGTTAGCGTTGAAGTCAAGAGTGAGTATAGTAAAACCCAACTCAATCCAGAAAAAACAGCTGGTACTGAAGAAAATGCTGAGTTGCAGCAAACACCATTATCTGTGCTTGATGCAGCTACCCAGGAAGAGATTCCCGGAGCTGCTGAAATAGCAACGGGGAACCAAGTACTTGAACCAATGCCCAGTGCATCTCCTCAAAATACTGAAACCATATCACAGCCCAGTGAAGACCCACAACTGTCCGGAACGTCACTTCAGAGCCCTACACTTCAGCCAACAGAAACAGACGGTGCTTTTAGTAATACAAAGTTGCGAAGAAGTGAAAGAGGTCAACGTCGCCAGAGAAGAGGTCAGGTTCAGAAGAACTCAAACGACTCCGAGGATCATGCAGCAAGCAATATAAGAAGAAATGATGCTAACGAACGCAATCAGGGCAGGAAAGTACACGAAATGTCGCGAAAAGATATAAGCTTGCAGTCTCAAGTGAACGTCTTAACCGAAGGTCTGACTAATGAACCGACAGCTCAAACGGAGCCACTTCCCGAAGGTAACAATAAACCGAATGAACCAAATGCTAGCATGAAAGATCGGCAACCAAAAGTTTCCAGAATTCCCGTACGCCGAAGCGCAAGTCGTCTATCCGGTGAGCACAGATTAATAAAACCCAGTCAACTAACTGTGATACAAGCTAGTAACCAACTAATAACTGATAATGAAGTTCAAGCAACTAACATTGATCGAAGCAACTTAGAAGAAGAAAATTTCCCACAAAATCAAATAGCTGGAGAGGTAAAGGAATCGCAAATAATAGCTAACGAAGGCGTAATCAATGAGACTGTGCTGCGTACTGACGATCAAAGTGAATTTGTGTTTACTGGTTTACTTTATTCGGCCGAAAATATAAACGAACCCTTAAATCAAGTCATTGAAATACAAGCGACGGAAGATTTGAATGAAAAAGAGACTCAGAGCGAAGCTAACACCGAAGAGATTACTGAAATCATGCAGAGCCCAGCAACAGAAATCGGAATTTTGGTACAAACACAACAACCGGATGAAGATTTGTATTTGGCTGCAGCCAATGATGGAACATCTTCGATAACTCACACATCTGAGCGTCTCATTGTTGAAGAAAATGTCTCAGAAACGAGCAGAAAAGGGCTTTTGCCACAAACTGAAACCACATCAGAAGTGGAGGAAGTTGTCTCAACAGCTCAAGTGAAACCCGGTACTGAAGGACCAAATACGCAAATCAGTGAAAATAAAGCCTTTCCAACTAAACCTCAAACTATAGTTGAGTTGGAGATTAAATCTGAAGAGCTCCACAATCAGATCGAAGGAGCGCCCGCTCTACAAGTATTGCCGAATAATATTGGTACAAATGATGAGATCAGAGATGAAAACCTTCAAGAATTGGCTGAGAGCACAGGTGTTACACAAGCCACTGTGGAGGTAATTGCTAAAGAAAGCATGCCACAAACTGCAGGAGAAATGTCTCCCAGTATTGCAAATGAAATTACCTTACCATCTGAGGTTAGTATAAAAGAAAGTGCTGCAGAGGTTGTGGAAGAAACGTCTTCACAAGCAGCTGTTGAGCGCACAGCACAAGACACTGTGAAAGAAATTATTGCACTCGACTCACAGATAACTGCAGATACCACACTTCATGAAACCATTGTAGAACTAACCCAACAAATTTTGGTAGAATCCACTGCGCCCGTTGAATCTGTAGAGACAACTCATATTATAGCGCCGACCAACGAAATAAAGGAAGAACTAAACTCAGAGGTAAATGCCGTGGCAGCAGCACCTGAAATTAACGATAAATCCACCATATCTGAAGAAACTACACAAGTTAAAGATCATACAGATAAAGTAATACACGAAACCGACGAAATAATTTCGAGGGACACGACAGCTGAAGAAGCAGTTGTAAAGCAAGCACACGAAACTGATTCACCAACAAACGAAGTCTTTCAAGATGCAGCAGATCTTTCAGGAGATGAAGCAAATGATAACGAAGACAGACCAGCTTCCGGACTTAGCAGTCATGATGCAAACGAGACTTCTGAAGCTGAACTATATAGTGTGGAAAGTGAATTTTCAAGCCACGAACAAGAGCGCTCCATCACTTCGGAAACTGGCGCTTTACTCGCAGCAGATAACGAGCCCCAGCAGTCCATACAGCAGTCGACCAGCGACACTGCAATAGACGCAACTCTGAGTAAAAAATCAAAGCAACCAGCGGCTTTAGAATTTGTGCTCTCACCTGATGCCTCAAAACAGAATCTTTCCGAACTCGTCGAGGATACGCAACGCTTGATTAAGCAAATGAAAGACGAAATTAATATAGAGGATTTTGAATCGTCTGAAGAAGAATACTCTGATGAGTACACAGATGAAGATGAATATGATGATGACGATGAATATGATGACGATTGGGAGGGCTCACTTGAAGAGGAAGACGAGGGCACGGAATATGATGAAGACGACTTAACTGAAAATGATCTTAATGAAGAGGATTATTTTGATGAAGAAGATGAGGCAGGGTTAAGTGATGTAGTTGAAGATGGTGAAGTCATAGAGGATGAAAAAATAGAAGAAATTGTTGATGAGGTATCTGCTACAAGCGGCGCATCCACTGAGCTAAACACGTCTCATCAAAGTGAGAGCATTAGTGCTACAGGTCTTGATATACAAAATACAATCATTCCCCGAACATCATCTAATACCGAAATTATCATAACCGTCGATCCCCCTCATTCAAACGCTTCTGACACACTACATGAAGTTGCCGAAAATGCTTTATTGACTCAGCTTGATAATGAAGTTGTGCCTGATTCTAATACTAATGCAAATAAAACCATTACTTATGCAAACCTAATAGAACCTTCAACTGCTGAATATGAGTCAGAACAACAAACGCCCGAACTGCCGGCGAAGACAGTGCTGTCAGCTGTAAAGAGCACGTCAGACGCGGCGGAGAGCTCGGCGGCGAACTCGGCAAACAATAGCGAAGCAGCTGCAGTAATGAAAGACAGTCAAGTAGCTGAAGAGGAAGCAAGCGATGAAGGTGAACCTGCGAAAATCTCAGAAACCGAAGGAAAACACCAAGTCGACCATAAAAAGTCTTCATCACAGATTGTTGTTACCAAGAGAGTACAGGAAAGTGTCCCAACAAAGCGAGTAGCGCCAAGTACCAGCAAAGCGGCTGCAACAAAAACTATTGTTAGTTCCAAAACTGGTGCCGTCAGCAAAATACCACAACAAATCAAAAACGATGCCAACGAAGCGTCCACCTCGAAAGCTGCACGAAGTACACTCAACAGCGGACGAAATGAAAAACCAATCTCACAAAAGTACGTCGCCGCCACAATTGTATGGCAGACTGATAAGCTGAAACCGAAGGAAAGTAAAATACCAAAACAAACAGCGAAAAAAGTGCCACTCCGCTCAAAATCCTTCTCCGGGCCACCAGGCCCTATTGGCATCTCCTCGGTTAAGACGATACAACAAGAGTTTATCAACCGTCAAAAACAGTTAACAACACGCTATGAACCACCCAAAAATCCACCCAGTATAGTACGTAAGAAGTCCATAACCGATGCTATTACTAAATTTATGCCCAGCACTTCGGCGGGTGCCAGTAGCTCGACAGCTACAGCGGTAACCAGCATTTTCCGCACTCATCCGCGTATACCTAAGAAGAAATATCACGAGACATGCTTTTCAGATGATGACTTTGAGACCACAGAGAGTGAAGAGGAGCCCGAACCTCTAGAGATACGTCAACGGAAGCAAAGTGTGCCCGTATTTCGTGCTTATCCCAGCGTGCAAGAGCCAGAAGTTGTGTCACCAGAGGTGAGTAGTAATCAATCAACTCAAGAGCATTCTCACTTACTTTCTATAAAATCGAATTCCGAGTGATTCTATGCTGGCTAGTGTACTTCACTCTAATGCACATTTTGTCTCTTGTTTACAGGTGCTCGTGCAGAAGTTCATGGACGAAAAACTGGTCGCAAATATCGGCGAAGCACTAATCGCCGCCACACTAGTCAATATGAAATTCCAACAAGATGTCTCACTGTGGGCGGCTAAAGAATGTAGTGATCTGGATCAAGCCATTTCTATGCTACAACAAGAGTGTGAACTCTGCATGGGCACATACCCCATGAATCAGATTGTCTCAATGCTCAAGTGCACACATAAGTGTTGCAAGCAATGTGCCAAAACGTATTTCACAGTGCAGGTGAGTGTGGTTTTTGTGAAAAGTTTGTTTTTGTTAACAACACGTCTTATTTCAAATCTCTCTTTCGATCTCTCTCTTTCTCGTTTTCTACCCTCTCTCTCTCTCTTTCCCTCCCTATCGTTTTCTACCCTCTCTCTCTCTCTCGTATTCTACCCTCTCTCTTTTTCTCCCATATCTCTTTTTAATATCTCTCTCTATCTCTCCCTCCCTCTTAATTACCCTAATTCTCTTTCCCACCAGATCACCGATCGCAGCATTAACGACTGCACTTGCCCGTTCTGTAAACTGCCCGAGCTCCACGGGCATAACGAGCATCATGATGAAAATTTGGAATATTTCTCGAATTTAGACATCTTCCTAAAGAGTATTTTGGATGCCGAAGTGCACGAGCTATTCCAGCGAAAACTCAGAGATCGCACGCTCTTGCAGGATCCCAATTTCAAATGGTGCATACAGTGCTCGTCGGGTTTCTTTGCAAGACCCAAACAAAAGCGACTCATTTGCCCCGATTGTGGTTCTGTGACGTGCGCGCAGTGCAGAAAGACGGTAAATATGTGAAATAACGGTACATTTCGCACACTATAGCACTAACTTTCCCCTTCGCTTCTTGTTCTTGTTCTTATTTTTAGTGGGAGAAACAGCACGAGGGCATTTCTTGCGAACAATTCAAGGAGTGGAAAGAAGCAAATGATCCCGAAGTGCAGGCACAAGGTGTGCAAGAACATTTGGCGCAAAATGGCATAGATTGTCCCAAGTGCAAGTTCAGATATTCGCTAGCCAGGTTTGTTGCGTTTATTTATGCATCAAATAATTATTTATCTCTTTTATTCTCTCTCTCTCTCTCACACACACTCTACAGAGGCGGCTGCATGCATTTCACCTGCACTCAATGCAAGTATGAATTTTGCTACGGTTGTGGCAAACCATTTATGATGGGTGCCAAATGCACGATCTCTTCGTATTGTGCTAAATTGGGCTTGCATGCACACCATCCACGAAATTGTCTTTTCTATTTACGTGATAAGTTGCCCATACAATTGCAAATGTTATTGAAACAAAACAATATCCCGTACGATGAGGATCCCATTGAATTACCAAACACGAATGAGGAAATCGCCTCTACTTCGAAGCCGAAAGTGGCACGTTGTCCCATTCCCTTGCAAAAGGAAACACCGACTGGTCTAGTAGATGCAGTATGCAACAGTGAGGTGCCTGACAGACACGCCGGTTTGTGTCGGTGAGTAGAGACAAGAATTTCTCTGCTTAACTCTACTAATTTAAAAATGACCTTTACTTCTCCTCTCAGCACACACTATGTTGAGTATTTAACTGCTAAAGTGGCTAAGGCACGCATTGATCCACTGCCCATATTCGATTTAACCGATTGTGTACAAGAGTTACGACGGAGAGATATACGATTGCCAGAAAGAGGTCCATGGGATACGGATGAAATTTATAAAGGAATGTGTTCTGAGGTAAGTGGAGGGAGTAAATAATGAGTAGTATAAGGTACTAGCAATCGTACGATTACAATTTGTAATCTGCACAAAAGCAACATAGAGAGTTTAGCTCCAGCTTTCCTTTACGATCATAGAGACATTTGAGAACTTTGTTATTAGGATTTTGCAAAATAAACTTTACCAACGAATAAATAAGATCGCTGAAGAGACAATAGGTGACTATGAATGCGGATTCCGTCTTAAAAGGTCCAGGTATTGGAAAATTTTTGTTATTATAAACAAGCAATTGATAGCTTTAATCGTGCCAAAATTAAACCCACACTTGAAAGGAGTAACATCCCCTCCAAATTAGTTAGCCTGGTGAATATGAGATTGCAAAACACTATCAGCAAAGTGCAGATTCAAAACAAGCTGTCTAACCCATTTGAAGTACTCTCAGGGGATAAGCGAGGAGATTTCCTGCCAACCCTGGTCTTCAACCTCAGGTTGAATGAGTTATTTCAGTAGTTCGATTCTGGAAAAGACATCTTCAACAGCAATATGCCAGTATGCAAGCAATTGACATGGTGGGAAATACAAGATATATCGCAACGTTAAACGAAATGTGCCATAAACTGTAATGGCAGACCCAGCAAGTTGGGCTTCAAATTGACTACGAAAAAAACCAAGTGTATCCTTCGTATCAAACCAAGCAACATCGCAGCGCCAACAATGGCATAGCAACTGCCATATAAGACAGGCTGTAAACAGCACATAAGGTAAACTTTGCGCTCAGAAAACTGTTCAAGTTGAAACCCTTATCGAGAAGCCAAAAGCTACGTATGTGTCACACACAGCTGCCGCCAATTCTGACTTACGCTTGTGAAGTTTGGACGACGAAGTGGACTGATTTGTACCATATAAGTACCTTCGAACGGAAAAATAAATGGTCCAATTAGGCTGGAAGATGGCAGCGGTTATTATATACATATACCCGTATATACTAGAGTTTACTCGCTACTTTTTCCGCGTGAAATTTGAAACAACAACCTATAATTACTAAGCCGCCTCTGAATGTTTGTCTCACGTTGGCCTTCCGAATGGCAATACGCAATGCTAATCAGTCAGCTATGGCGGCTGCCTAAGTATTATATCCTAGAGTCTTAAATCCTTAAGTATATTTGAAAAAATAAAATAAAATTGTGATATATTTTCATGAAAACGAAATCCTACACTTAACGCAGTATTTTCTTGTAGTTGGGTTTTTTTTGTGTTTTTCATGGGATGCTGGAATCACCAGGCTACTTTATAAGCTTACTGCAGAGCAGGCCAAATCAATCTAGCCATGGAAGAAGCAGCATTATCTCATATCTACTTCTGCTACTCTAAGACTTTGATATTGTACCTTGTTTATGATTAATTCGTAGCAGACTTTGGAATCCCTGGGATAAATACAAATTGTTCTAGAAAAGAACGTGTTGGGCAGTAGCCTCGAATACATTTCGATGCAATACTTTCACGTGTGTTCTGGTACCATTGCACAATTTTGGTGTACTTATATGACTCACCTAATAATATTAAATACAATATGTAAGTTGACTTTAGTGTATTCAGGAACTCTACCGGATAATAAATGGCATCGTCGATGTTTATCAATGAGTTGGCGGTTTTATACCGATATTCGACCCCGTCGGATGATCTTAAAAATATTTAATTTATAACTGAATGCTTTAACTTTGTCCTCTTGCAGTTTCCTGGCAAAGTCTGCCGGAATACAGTAACTTCTCCAACAGCCTGGCAACACTTCAACATAGTAATTTTGGCAGAAATCTACTACTACTACTAATTTTATGTAAATAAAACTATAAATACAAATATTTCGAATAGATTGAATTAATCGGTCTCAGGTCCACTTGCCGGAAGAAAAAGTGTTCCGCATATCGTTTCAGGCAATAAGTTAGTGTTAAAATTTCAGATAAATCAATGGTTCACTTCCCAGAGGTGAAAAGTAGTTTTTCTGCCGGAGAGGAGTGCAGTCCTCCTGTTAATCAATGCAAAAGGCCACCTATGTACTGAATTTCAAGTAAATCGAATTATAAATAAGATTTTTTCGAAAACGACTATCTCAGATTCACTTCCCGAAAATTCCTTCCCAGGAATCAAGGAAGCAATCTGACGAAATTTCAAGTCAAATGGTAGGTAACTTTTGGAGATTTTTGAAGATTAGTGAATTTTTTCAAACGCAAATAAGATTTTTATATATAAGATTATATTATATATCCGTATGTAAAAATCAGCATATTATTATTATGATTGAAATTAATACAAACTTCATATGTACATACGTTCCATTCACAGGTGATTAAGAAAAATATTCCATTGGAAACAACATGAGCATCGGTGCCATAAGCTACCTGAGCCAAAGCATGATCACCCATATGCCTAACATATGAACGATATAAATACATAGATGTCATACATGTACATGTGTATGTACATTCATACAAACCAGCGAACGATGATGGGCTGCAAATGTTTGAGAAAGACCAAAAAATAGATACAAACAAATAAAGAATATGTTAATAAATAATTTTCCAATAATATTTATTTCTTTTTTATATTTTTTTTCTATCCACTTGTCTTATGCGCCGTAAATATTTATGTTTTTGATCATCGCAGTCCACTGTAAATTTTTTTTTTTATTCAACAGTACGAGTATACTACGAAATGTACTCCTTATTTCTATAAGTAAAATGTTCAATTTACTATATGTATTTTCTAAACACGTAACTAGTGAATAAAGTATATACAAAAAAATGTTTACTGCCTTTTAATTTTTTTATATAATATTTTTTTTTTAATTTCTTTTATTTTTGAATTTTTTTTTATTTAATTTTTTTTTTTCTAAAATTTCATATTTTTTATTGCTATTTTTTTTGTGTTTTATTGTTATTTTTTTGTACTCAAAAAACTTGTGTTTATTTAGTCTTTACTTACTAAACCCACAAACGTTCGCAGATACTCATGTATGTATATGTGCGCATATGTTTATACAGACAGCCATACAACTGATTATGTGCGCATAAACGAGTATTAAATACTGTCAAATTTCATGGTCACCAAAGAAAAAAAATTGAATACTCATTTGTTCGGGCGCCATAAAATAATAAATCACCCACACGTATATATATAAAGCATATACACACACAAAATCCAACATCACATCGCATCACATCATATCAATGTCAACGCGACATCACGTCATTGCACTCGTCTATTACCTATGATTTTCCGTTGATCCACATCATAAACGGCTGATGACCGCGTGGAAAAAAATAAAAACAACAGAATGTAAATAAAATAAAATAAAATTTTATTTTAAAATACATTATTGTATCTATGTAAATAATATCTAGCAAATTAAGTTGTACGCTCAACGCTCGCTGACTTTGATATGTTACATATTGTCCGTCTTGCCTATTGTCTTAACACGTATATCTATTTATTTATGTAGGATTTTGCACTTTAAATAAATACTCGTGCTGCATAGCGGTCGAAATTATTTTTAAACAAATGTGAATATATATTCTTTTTTTTTCTCATTATGCCTTTCATGCACATGGAATGGTATATACATATGTATGTAAGTACCACAAGAAGATGAGAACGACCCACCAAAATCTATACCGATCAGAATGACGAGTCGGTTTTTTGAAATATTTCAACCAGACTTGGTACTCAGGTACATTCGAATAATTATTTGTCGAAACCGGCCAGATCAGACCACTATAACTTATGTACATATATAATTGTATATGACCAATTTATGAAAATTTTTGATATTGAGTCATAAACTTGCCTAAAATCATCTTTTCTTCTTCTTTACTGGCGAAGACATCGCTTAACCGATTATAGCCTAGTTAACAACATTGCGCCATTCATTTCCAGGTTCAGTCAGGCCCTTTTCCATCTGACTATTAAAACAGATTACTCTTCCTTTACTTCCACCTATAGGTACTGCGTCGAAAACTTTCATAGCTAATTATTCTTATCCTTCGGGACCACATGATCTATCACTTAATTCGGTAAACTATGTCTATGTCGCCGTATATTTCCATCAGCTGCGGTTTTCGCCATTACCAGTTCGTAGAGAACTAAATATATATATACTCTTAACTCCGACTCATCCGATGCGGTCCATCGTCCATGCCTCCGGACCAATTAGTAGGACGGAAATTGATGAGCGAGCGATTCGTTCGTTGAGAGGACTTTATTTTTCCATACAGACGAAGTTACGACTTTAAGGTTTCAACTGTCAACAATGATGCGGGAGTCAAGTCGCGAATGCGAGGACTGTTTGTTTGCTGACAAGAGATATTTCCTCTTGCACTCGTTCACCACCAGACCCATATTCTTCGTTTTATTATCTAGTCTAAAGAAAGCAAAACTCACGGCGCGTCTCAACAACCGCTAATAATATCAATATCAACGGCGTACGCCAGCAGCTGAATACTCTCTGTTCAGCTCTGCATGTTCAACTCTACAGCTCGTATTATTTTCTACAACATCAAATTGAAGAAGTCACACGATAAGGTATCACCTCGTTTGGTATCGAATAGATCGGAGAGATTTTTCCCGATACTGACGAAGCTTTTGGTGTTGCTTAACTTAGTCATAAGATTTTCGGCGATATCTAATTCAGGCAAAGCGGCGTAGAGGCAGCTCCTTACTGCACTGTCAAGGCAGTTTTTAAATCGACTAAGAGGTTGTAGACATCGATCCTCTTTTCACGGGTATTTTCCAAGATTTAGCAGAAGACGAAAATCTGGTCAATAGTTGAAAGCCACACTGATAAGATCCAATGAGTTTGTTGACGGTGGGCTTTAGTCTTTCATACAAAACGCAGACCGTGAGACCGCTATTTGAGACAGCTATTTGTGTGAACTAGGCTTAGCGCACTTTGATTCAAATCGTCGGACATGCCTTCATCTGACCGAATTTTGCATAGAAGCTAACGCCGTATTTGAATAGCTCGGTCGGTAAACCATCGGCAGTCGGCCCCTTGTTGTTTTTCATGCGGGCGATTGCTATTCAAAATCTTTTGGGCAATTAAGCATTTGTGCTATCGTCATTAATTAGAGACTCAGGTTCATAATCTCCTGGCGTTACACTCTCATTGCCATTCAGCAGTGTGGAGAAGTGTTTCCTCCATATATTCAGTACACTTTAGGCATCAATCACTAGATCACCTACCTGTGTCCCACAAGAGTCTGCTACGGTCTATTCAACTTTTGTTAGTTCTCGTATCTTTTGGTAGAATTTTTGAAAATTACTCTTGTCGGTCAGCTTCTCAAGATCTGCATAATCACAAATATCGGCCTCTTCTTTTTTCCTACAAATGCGTCTAGCTTCCCTCTTCAGCTTACGGTATCCATGCCACCCTTCACGTGTTGTGGTCGATCGCTTTGCGAGGTAAGTACCCCTTTTTTTCTCCACTACGTCCTCATCGTAGCAGTTGACTTGCGACCTTTCGAAAACCAATAGATTGGATAGCAGCTGTACGTAGAGAGTTTGAAATTCCGTGCCAAGTTTACCTAATAATGCTCTCAGAGAGCAGGTCGAGTAGAAAAACGTTCGGATGTCTGTTGTGATTGCAGCTTTTCGAAGTCGAGCCTTCCTTGGTTTTAATTGACGGGCATTCTTAGCTACATAAAGGCATGGTATCTTTCCTGATACAAGAAAGAGGTCCCATTAGATGTTGGCTCCTCGGAGTACTAGTACTACAGACCACAATTTACTACATTAGTTTGACAAAAATAGACCATGAGTAAAGTATTAAAAACAATCTGAAAGCCATTGCAATCTTCATCCAAAACATGTTTTCACAAAGGTTTAAGCGCCAAAACCATTTTTTACTACCAAACATATCATCGATCTTCAATCCCTTTAAGGTATTAGATACGTAAGCATGCCACTTCATTTAACCACCTGAGGATTAATTGAATATAAACTGAGTTTTCTCTAAGTAAAATATTTCCCAAATGAAGATAGGTTGTTTTGAACCCCCAAAATCCGCCCGCTGTGTTCTCGTCTTTATATCACAAAGCCATCTGCAAACTATTTTCCAGATATGACAATTAATTTTAATCCTAAAAGGAATTACCACAAATTTGATATGATTATGCAAGGTATAATGAGTTCGGCATGGCCGAAGACAGCTCTTCTTATTTGTTTTCATTTTGTATTATTTTTTGTTTTTTATATTTTTATGTTGCGCAGACAATAAACCCACCTTTCAACACACCATTCACGCTAACTCATTTTATGGTTCGTTGGCTTGAAGGTGGGTTTGTATGTTTGCCCATTTTGCCGTCCGAACAATGCACTTGTTCCTTGGGCGCACGCGCTAAACATTTCATTTCATGAGCCGTACATTTCCCATATCAAATTTTCAAAACAAATTTCAATTTCAAATTATCACACATGTTCTAAATACAATTTCGTTTTTATTTGGGTAAAGTTTCCTAAAAAATATATTTTTTTTTGTGTTTGTCTTAACGCATACGCTGGCCCGCCCACCTAAAAAAAAAAAACACGCGATTTGTGCGTGGAGGCTTTGCGTGCGAATTGGTTTAACCCCTTGACTAACATTGTTATTAAAAAAAAAAACGTTTGCGTTTTATTCGTAACAAAGGAGTATTGCGTTAATTTCAACCGGTTGACCCTTCGAGTCTCACTGAATCATACCCTAATATTTACACGCTTCTAGATAATTAAATAAATGGGCTAATTTCAATGGTTTAACCCCAGATTTATCTAAGCGGTTTAGTATGTTCTCTATCCAATTCTCAGTTATCACTTTTGAAATTTGATTCCATTCCCTTTTTACCCGATCCCAATAGGGAAATGATCAAAAATGGAACAGATCAGTTTCTCAGGTCCTCATAAGCCATACAATTTACATTAAAATGTATCTTGAAATTAGATTTTGTTAAAATCAGTAAAGCACCGCAAAGAACGTCTGCTGAAATGATACAATCGAGAGCACCCGAACAACCTTTTCTTCTCCTTCATTATTTGGCACCACTTACGCGATTTTAGCCGAATAGCGCTAATCAACTCTTCTTTTCAGTGTTTGACGCTGGTTGGAAATACAAAGTGAAACAAGTTCTCCACTTGATCCTTCCAATAGAGTGGAGGTCTTCCTCCTTCTCTGCTTCCACCAACAGGTACGGCATCAAATACTTGCAAAGCTGGAGTGTTGTCAGACATTCGAACGATATGATCCAGCCAGTGTAGCCGCCGGTCCTTCACTCAACGTCATCATATAACTCATCGTTCCATTGCCAACTTTGTCAATGCACAAAGGACCGGAAATCGTTTGCAAAATATTTCTCTCGAAGACTCCTAAAGATCACTAATCAGATGTTGACATCCTCTACGCTACTGCACCATATGGTAGAACGGATATGATGAACGACTTGTAGAGTTTGGCCTTTGTTCGTCGAGAGAGTACTCCACTTTTCACTTGTGGTAGGTGTTGGTGTTAATGCTGGTTCCTAGATACTCGAAGTTATCTACGACTTCGAAGTTATGACAAGTCGCTAATGTGTTATCTGATTATTTGTTGTTTTAACCGCAAAAATATTCCCCAAAGCACTTTTTGGAGAATGTTGCGGGAGTGACAGTCCTTTGCCGGATAAAAATCCTTGTCGTTCCGGTATAAAAACCCGATTGTCCCGGAAACTATTGGATTTTAGTCGCCTACGACAGGCATGCCTTACCGGGGATAAATTCTTGAACCCCTAACCCGCAGGTG